AGAATAAACCTGTCAAAAGCTGCCACTCCTGATGGCTGTGTGCTATAGTACAATCAGGGGCAGTGTGGCTGTGTATACCAGTTGCTGGGAATCATGGGCAGGAGACGACTGTTGTTATCATGTCCTGCTTGTGGTTTCCACATGGACAACTGGTTGGTGACTGTGAACAGAATGTTGGACTAGACGGTTTCTTGGTGTGATCCAGCAGCGCTCTTACATTCTTAGGGGAAGAGCTTCCCAGCCAAAGTTCTGTCATCTGGAGAACTCTAGCCTGTGAAGCTGTAGCGGCTTGGCACAGTGCTACCATCACACTGGCCCTGTAGAAATAACAGGTGCAGGATGAAGAATCCAGAGGGATCCCAGATGCTGACTTGAATGTTGCCACCCGCTTCTTTAAACATAGCTCCAGAGGTACCTGCTACCTGTATCAGCCTGCACACGCTATCAGAGTTTTCAGAACTATACACTGGAGACATGGAGGGGACAGGATGCTAACAAAATCTATGCATTGGGTACAGTCCTTTTTTTGCTTTCAGTTTTTCATTTGGGGGTTGAAGGACAGTGGCCCTGACCAGGAAAATCCAGAACAAGAGTACCTACTACCCAGGGTCCTAGTTACAGATGAGGAAATATGATTGACTGTGCAAGCATCATTATATTGAACAGTACCATAAACTCCTGATAGCTCAGAATGGGTTTTTCTGTGTTCAGACTGTTCTCCTTTATAGCTGAAACTCTTCAAGAGCAAGAGCCTGACAAACTTGAAAACGTGGGTGTGAGCCATGTTCCCCTGTTGCTATCTTAATGCAGGTGCTCCTGCCAGCTGCAGATGTAGTTGGAGGGTAGCTTGGGTTTGCTAGACAATCAGTAAAGTCAGAGAGAAGTAGATTTCCCTTTGAGCTTGTTTTGGGCAGTGGCGTGTTCTGTGATGCAGCATTGATGCATCAGCCACTTTTTTGGAATGCTCTCAAATTTCATGATGGCCATGAGACCAGGGGCAGCCCTTGCAGCAAGTGGCTCGTTTATTCAGAAACGTTGGGAGGAAAGTGTTAAGAATCATGACGGGAAAGCCTCCGTGAGGCATGTCTAGGAATGGGGGCAGGGAGGAAAGCTGCAGAGCCCTCGGCACGTGCTGAGGGCAGCCAAAGATCCCTGAAGAGAAAGTGTCCGCATGCCTCATCTCACCTCTGCAGCTTGCCTGTGGCAACAGAGCTGATGAGGCACTGATACCATGCCAGTCCTTAGCTGCTTGCAAAGCCATTCAGCAGAGCAGTGAGTATTTGCAGAGACAGCAGGCATGGCTGGATGGGGAATGCTGGGAGTTGTAGTCCAGTATCTCTGAAGGGCACTTAGTTGGGGAAAGCTGCATTAGGCAAAATAAATAGTGGCTGCTTTGCTGCTCTGTGGGCTGGATCCTGGCTTGTTCAATAAACCCCAGTTAGCACAATGGATTAGTTCCAAACGTAGCCTGTTGCTCACTTTCAGCTGAATGCATACAATACAATTTATTCACATGGCAGCTGACTCTTGGCACCACTGAAGCCAAAGGACATTGCTTCTGTTTGGACTGTGACTTAACTAACATAACTTTCCCTGTGTTTTAAAAATCATGCACTACATAGCTTTGTATATTAAAAATTTAACAGAGCATCTGTCATAAACGAATAAACCCTTTTTCTCCACATGTATCATATGTGTACTGAAAATATGTGTGTTGAAATATTTGCACCAATACAAAAGATGATTTTTCAGTACTCCCCACCTCCTTGAATTATGTGTTACCGTACTATTTGTGGTAAATAAATGTATTCTCAGAGCATATTTGTTCATGGGCATTTCTTAAATCTTACGGGAGGAGCCCACATCGATGGGCAATTATGCTGTGCTTGGATAGAGTTGTCCATGATGCCATATGCCCTGAGACTTAGGCAGCCATTATTCCATAGAGAAAAATTGAAGGTAAGAATGGCCCTGCAAAATATTTCATGCTTTTCAAATTAGTATATACAGGATCTATAATCTCATTGTATTTTTTTCTGACTGCCATTTAAAAAACTATAGCTCATGGGCACATTTACCTAGAAATAATGTTCCACTGAAATCAGGGAGACATCTGGCAGGTACATGGATCCAGGATGGAAATACTGTGGGAACTGAGGCCAAGGGTGTTAATCTCCTAGCACAATGGCACACATATGGAAACCTCATTCCAAGTTATGTGCAAGGGGAGATTCCAACAGAAGTTCTCCTTGAACAAGCACTTGCAGATCTTGGGCTTACAAAATGGTTTACTAGTGCTTGCATAACTGGAAAAGGCAGCTGAGCAACAGCAACATAGGGATATGGTAGAAGTTCTTGTCGAATTTAGAAAATGGCCAGATAAATTGAGAAAATGTGCGAAAATGTGAAAGCAGAGTCAGATATTAAGGAATTAGTTTATCTCTTTTCAGTTGTTTATAATATCACTTTTTATTGAGATGAGGCTTCAGAAAAACCTAAGGGATGGTACTGTAGGAAACTGAAACAAAAAAGGGGATGAGGTACTATGAAATGCTAAGTAGTTTCATTCTTTCCGTTACTTCCCTTTTTATTTTGGAGGAAAATCTTGGGCAGACTTTGCTATACTTTTGGCATGGTTAATCCTGCTATTACTGCCTATATAAAGCTCCTTTCTGCACACGCTGAAACTGGTCTTTGAATTTGAGTTAATCAGATATTTTCCCCCAAATTGAAGAGCGCACTGACTTTTTAGTGTCTCAACGCCTGGTATTCTGTTCAGCCTTGAGGCTCAGTAAGGCTTGCAATCCTTTGGCTTAAATAGTTTGTGGTTCTTGTGTGTTTCTTAGTAGTTCTGTTTTCTGGCAGATTGCTCACTGATATTTGGCTTACAGTTGCCTGCTTCTAGCTCATGCTTAAAAAAATGAAAACAGATTGGTTTCCAAGGCTTTCTCTGCATTCACACATCGGAGTTTCTCATGGTTTGTAAACTGTAATGTGCTTGTGTAACTGAGGTCCCTGATGGTGAACATTTGGGTTTAATCAAAGTGGGTGAGATTGTGTAGCAGCCTGCATTACAGTTCTCGAACACTGCTTTTCTGTGCATTCATTGCAGCATACGGCATGCTGGAGAGTGCTTGCATTTGAACCTCTCTGTTTTCAATATGCTTTCTTCTATAGTGGTAAAAAAGGAGGGAAGCAAACTTTATAATTGTAGAAATGCAGAGCTGTTTTTGGGTGGGGGACACTTTATCCCCCATCCCACCGCCCCTGCAGGCCAGATTAAATCAGGAGATGTGGCTCCATCCCTGATATCAGATCAAGGGTATAGCCCCATCCCTGACATTTCCCCCTTTTTTCTTTACTTTGTGCAGTAAGAAGGATCAGGCCTACTCCCCATAGAGATCCCGCCTCCCCCCCCCCCCATGTTCCCTGATATTTCTGAGCCCACACTGCACATCCTGGGTTTCTCATGGGCCACATTAGGCCTGCTAGGTGGAGCTTCTGACCAGTTATGGTCCATTATGCGCTTCTTCCTGAGTTCCAGTTCAGACAATCAACTACATTGCACAGGAACTGGTAATGAGCTGTTGGTTTGCCAGTAGAACAGAATCCGCTGTGGAGTGGATTTCCCTATCGCTACCGCTGTTTGAACCCCCCCCCCAAGTCTGCTCTCAGGTGCTGGGGGGCCCTCAGGAGGAGGGTGTGCAGACGGGAGCAAGGGGAAGCCACTTTGTATGAGTGGAAGCCCACTTCCGCAACATTTAGATTTAACCCATTGTTTTTCACGTTCATTTTGAACTGGTTTAATTCCAAATGTAGCCACTTGGTGTCAGAATTCCATGTCTGCTCCATGCTACACAAGAAGACATGGCTTGTACTTGAATGGACTCACATGCCATTTGAAGTTACTTTGTCAGACAAGCAGGGCAAATATGTAGTCATGAAATCGGTGTATTCCTGTCAGAAATCCAAGTAGCCCTGAGAAAAAGGCTGTTTAAAAAGACATCATTTCCCATGTACCTTGAGTGTCAGGAACAGGTGAAAAGGGTAGAAGCTACTGAGACCGGCCAAGTCCATAGTTCAGAATTAGAGGATTTCACTTGCCACTCCCTTTCTGCAAGCAAAGATCTTTTCACAGCTTTGCTTTCTGCTAGACTGTCTGCTGTTTGGCATTAGACAAGTGAGAAACAAAATAACCCATTTTTCAGCCTTGCTTGGTCAATGCCCATAGCTAGTGCTTGCTACCTTTTGACAGCACGTGCTTAGCATGGCTTTGCGCAGGTAAGACTTTTCATTTTGGTCACCTGCCAGTGTGCACCTGCCCAAATGCAAAAGATCAGCATTTTTTTAAATGCAGATAATATTTGTGCACATTCCTGATGCCTAAAATTACAATTTAAGAGGGTGATGAATGCTCCAGTGCGCCATTTGGGCACTCCAGAGGGACTGTCAGTGACTGTAACTCAGAGACCTTGAAAAGACCACAAAAAGGAAACAAAATGGGAGGAAGGGAAGCTACAGAGACCAAAAGGGGGTTGTGAGCAGAGTGGAGGGAAACAAGGTGGCTTTCGCTGACAAATCCCCTGAGTTACCTGAATGCAATGGGGACACAACCTACATTGAGCCTGATTGTCAGTTGGGCACCCCTTCTGGTTGTTCAAAATGCTGTGCAATTTATTTGTGGGGTGGGTTGCCGGGTTCTGTGAATGCATCCAGACTTCCAAGGTGTTTTTAAAGAAAAGAAAAATCTTGTGAACTATATGGATTCATCCATTTAGATAGCTGATCAAATTGCAAAAGCTGGGTTGGGCATCACAATCACTGGAACAGTGTGGCATAAATACTCTAGCTCCAAAAGGAATGCTTAAGAAGCTTTTAACATTGCAAAAAGCTCAGGTTAATGTTGTTCTTATGTAGCCCTGGCCTGGACAGATAAAAACAGATCATATTGAATTAAGTTTTTCATAGCTAATAAGAAGTGAAGGATGCTAGAAGTTAAGGCCTTTACCTGCAAACAAAAGTGTATTAATAGTCTCTAACGTATTTACAAATACTTCCAATACTAAAACTAACAGTATTTTGTTCACAGTGCCATTGTTTATACAGGTAGCTTTCCCATAATACTTAGGTATTTTGGTATGGGAATCAGTAGAGCTTTATATATACAGGAGACATAGATGTGCGAATATAAACAGGTCACAGATACAGTCATCAAAAGAGACATCTGGAAACATTTAAACTGTACAACTCTTCCCTTTTGATTTTGTAGGAAATACTGTTCTTGCAGTGAGAAGAATGTCAGTTTTTTTAATCTAAAGTGGCGTAAAATGATTAATGGGCACCACCATGACAAAGCTTTGTGTACACAGAATAACCTTACTTCAAGGTTTTTTTTAGATTCCTTGTCCAGTGCACCAAATATAAAAATTTTAAAAAGTGTTTCAATTCTTTAAAAGGAGATACTTTTCTCTTATGTGGCCAGATGTCCTCTGAGTTCTGACACTGCTGCTGCTGGTGATGGTGGCTTTGAATGTGCAGCCCAGCTGCTAGACTGAAGACTGTGCATCGCTCCAGGACTTTGGGCAGAAGTGCATGTCACAGTAGGACCCAAAGTGAGTGGCACCACGGACCAGGAGCACCCTGCTCTGGCCTGGGCCCACTAATCCTCCAGTTAGTTGGTACCTGCTTGCTGTCCCCGTTTCAGCACAACTGAACAAAGCTTCTCATCAAGCAGTTTATGATCAGAAGTGATGAATGGCTTCAGAGAGTAAGATGAGGAAGTGGGATTTGGCAGAGCTTCACAACCAAATCCAGAAGCAACACAGATTCTCTTGAGGAGGGCCCCTGGAACTTAGCTGTTCCTCCCTGCTTTCTTCGCTTCCTGAATTGTTCACGATGACACCACAGACCCTCAGGATTTTGTTCACTCCCAAGAAAGACGAAAGATGGCGACCCTGCAGATTAGAGTGCGAAGTCGCCACTAGGGCGTTTCTCCTTCGTTTAAAGTCTGTTCTTCCTCTTCAGTCATTTGCACTGAGTGGCCAGTGCCCCTGCTGGTGCTGCTGTGCTGCTTATGGAGCAAACTCCTCCACTTGGTCTTGTTCCTCCTCAGATGGTTCAGCATGTTTTCAGATAAGGGAGTGTTTCCAGTAAAGTTGGCCCATTCTTCAAAGAGTGGCTCCACAATGTAGGTCATGAAGCCTGGGAGGAAACATGAGGCAAAGCATATCAGCAGCTCAGTCATTCAGCAAAGGCAGCACCCTAACACACAGCTTGAAAACACTTCTGCAGACTGGGACCTTCCTCTAGAGCAGTGAAAGGGAGAAAGACAGCCTTGTAACTCTAAGCCTGGATTTATCTGGATTTATTCACATTTCAACATAATAGAAATATGTTTTCGCCTTAAGTTGGCAACAACATCACTTCCGCATCAAATCTTTTGTTGGCCAAAGTGGAAATTTGAATTGCAAAAAATAGCGGAGATGGTAGAGAAACTAACCCTTATCGATTTATGTTCTGTTTCCAATATCTGCTGGAGCTTAAGCATATGATGTCTATGTTTCACTTATGCCCTGCCTATTCCAAGAGACATCCAAAACTCATTCATACATCTACCTCCATTTTTTTATAGGAAGACCCATGATTTTATGGAAGAAACTAGAGCTTTCTCTGTTTGTCAGTTGGTCTACATGATCTAGTCAATGGGTATTGTCCAAGGATGATAATTCTTATCATCTCTGATAATACTCCATTCAGAGATTCTCCAAACGAGAGATCCATAGGCAACAGAACTAGTCATGGGTCTCAGTGTAGTGGCTAAGAGCGCCGATCTGGGACTCAAGGTGATCTGGGTTCTAGTCCCTGCTTAGCCATGGAGCCAACTGCCTGCCTTTGGGCCGGCCACAGACTCCCAGCCCAACCTACCTCACAAGACTGTTGTGGGGATAGAGGAGGAGAAGGAGCAGAATGGAGTCAGCTGCTTTGAGTTCTTCAAAAAAGGAAAAGCCGGGATATAATCTAATGAATAAATTTTTCCACCACAGCTTTGACAAGCCTCAGAAAGGGGACTTGGTGAAGTGTGGTGAGGCAGGCATCTAACGAAGCATTATCATGTCTTGTATTTCTGAGGGACTGAAAAAACTTGCCAAGTGCAAAAAGGAAGCTTGTATTTTCAAACTCTCAGTGGATTTACTCCAGGGAGCGTATGTCATGCATTGCTGCCAAGGTACAGGTCCCAGTGTGTCCCTAATTCTTGGAAGACACATGCCTCCTTCCCTCTCACACACATATATACTTGGCATGCTTGGTGCAGCAAAGATTATTCAAGCACTGGTACACCTGTGATGCTATGCATAAGTATGAATTGGGTGTCTAGTACCATGTTTTAAATTATTTCAATCCAATGCCTGCTTTGCAGATGTTTGCACTTGTGTAATCCTGGCACTGCACGGACTTGTTGTTAGCACAGCTATTAGTGTCCTTGTCCTAAGAGTTTATTTGTGAGTTCAGAGGGCTACTTCAAACATTACAGGAAAGCTGTGCTAGTATTTTTGCCATGTTTTTTCATGGCCAACAATGTGTGATGGGGAGATGAATCTTAAGGACTAGAAACATGTGTTTGAATTGCACGTGGCTAAGATGCTTGGGGACATTTAACTGCTGCCGAAGATTAATCATCTCCATTACCACAGACACACATGATGGCCAAGCTCCTCTTTCCTTACTATCTGAAGAAGCCATTAGTGCTTGACAATATTCTGAGGTAATTTCAGGTGAAACTATAATTAATATTGCTATATTAGAAAAGATCCAGCTGTTTGAATTTGATCTCAAGGAGAAGCTCAACTGTAATAGCCCAAAGGACAATTTTACTTGTCATTGTAACAGCAGGCAGTCCAATGTGATATGCTCCCAAGTCCTCAAAGAGAGCAAAAACATCTTTTTGTAATAAGTTAACTGTTAATGGTGAGTATAACCTATTCATATTCACAACTGTCCTTCTCATTCAGCAGGTGTATGTCTAGAAAACAGTTTATTTTAAGCTGCCAATGGATGGTTCATCCACCCAATGGTCTAGCAGGCAGAAAAGCTCCATCTTCACTCTCTTGTTCTTTCATTAGACTTGAGAGGGCTCTGCCAATAGTTTATCCAGATTCTGGAGAATGGAAACTTAGTGCTGCCAGGCATCCCAACAGTAAAGGGGGAGCAACTCTTCCATTTGCTTATTTAAACTGTGCAAAGCTTTGTTTAGGGCCCATGGCACACACAAGCCTCCCAGCTCGAGATGCACATGTTCCTGGTGCAGAGATCTGCAAACATCTGCCTGTGCAGGGTGTTTGTACACTCAGCGTGGGTGCTCTAAGCAGATGCGGGAGGAGGAGTTCCATTTGTGTGTGTGTGTGTGTGCCTTAACCCTCATTTTGAATGTCGGATGTTGCTCTTGGGTCGAGCGCACAACCCTGGCTCCTCTCTAAATCCTGCTTTTGGTTAGCCTTTGAGAGTAGATACAGCCAATCAGCTGTGGGGAAAGCAGGTCTGTTGAGGGGGTGGGCAGGAGGAAAGTGCGCAAAAAGGGATGACTTGCGAAAAACCACCACCAATTTAGTCTCGCACAAAAACAGTCTTTCAAGTGTTGTTTGCTTGTGGAGTGCTTCTTTGTGGGTGTGTTGCAGAAGGCAAGGAGGAGGACTCGTCTAGAGCGGAGAGGACTTGTGAAGCGCACGCCTTGACTGAGGCAGTCATACGAAGGCTTGTCCTTAATTATAACTAGCAGCAAAACCACAGTGTGTACTCCCACTGCACATAGCCTGGAGGCATTTTTTCCCCCTCAGCATGCTGATGGTGGTTTGAAAGCAGTGGCACCGCACGTGGCGTCCGCATCACCCTGCTTTCCCTTTCTGCACGCAGGACATGCTTTTCCATGTGTGTTGGAGCGTGTGTGGACAGCTGTTTCACAACTCTGCAAAGCCAGATTGGTCAGAAACCACGATGGGACAACAGAAAGTACGGAAAGCAAAGCCAGCGCCACTGCTTTCAGCTTTCAAATGTCCCAGGCAAGTTGCATGGAGCAGCGCATTGTAGGCGTAATAAGCCCGAGATTTACCATGGACATGCAGGGGTGCGTAAGGAACGACAAATTGGCGCAGGCACCCTTAGAGTGCTGGCTGTTGGTTAGCAACCTGGCAGTTAATCCATGGTTTGTTTTAGAGTTAACTGCCGGATTTAGCCCCCTACATAACCCAGTGCTCCAGGTTTGCACGTCACAATCAAGAACCTGGATGATTGTAGGCTGTTTATGTAAAGTGGAAGTAAAGTGGAAGTAAGAAATACCCAGGAGGTATGTGCTCACTCACTCTCACCCATGCATAGTAAATCACGGTTACTAACTCACCATTTTCCATTTTGTGTGACAAGCCTACCATTATCTGTTTCTAGCCTTAGAAATACACAGAGCTTCATTTTAATTCTCTGTATACACCTAAAACTCCACTAATAAACTAGAATCAATTAATGAAGTGAAATGGGAACTAAGGCCAAAGGACATGGGAAAAGCTCTGCTGGATGAGGCCATTGTTCATCTAGTCCAGCACTTTATTCAAACAGTGGCAAGCAAGCTGCCCACAGGAACCCTCAAGCAGGATGGAGAAAAGACTTCTGCCTGCCCAAGCTCCTCAGCAACAGAGCTAAGACCCATTTTTCACTGAGCACTTCTTGATGGCTGTCAAAAGGCAAACTGCCAAAGCTGCTCTTCCATCCAAGGCTGTATTGCATTTCTTTGATAGATTGCTTACACAAATGGCTTGTTGTTGAAAAGCGTTCTGGTGTTAACATTTACACAAGTCTATTCATGTTTCATGTTAGGGCATCTCGAAGAAGGTTAGAAACATAGAAACAGAGCAAGTCAGAAGGGTCTCCTGGGCCATCTAGTCTGACCCCCAACTCCAGCCGGCTCCACTCACGACATGCTCACGACATGCCCACCAAGGTTAGGCTACTGAAGCAAGGTTACTTACCAATTTGTATACTAGGTATTGTGTCTTTCTGCTGATTACAAAGAGGGCTTATTTCCAAGTCAAATTTCTGCTCTAGGTCACCTACCAAAAAGAAGAAAGAACTTTTGAAGGCACATCTCCTCTTTGTGTATATGTATGATGTACAATGTAGGGCGGCTTCATATGTCATGCTAAGCCACCCTGAAAATAACCAATGCTGCTTCACAGAACTGCCCACAGTGCACCTGAGAGACGACCAGGCTCACCGTGGCTTGTCTCCCATGGTTGTCCATCCAGCATCCCAAGGCCCTTGCTGGCTGAAACTGCCTTATTTCCTTTTCCCACTACAGACGTGAACTCTTTTTGTTTTTTCGGGTGTCTTTCCCCTCTGGAAAATTGGTTTTCATGGTGTCTAAGGTAACCATTAGCACCCAAAGTAACAGTTAGCACTGACTGCACCCAAATGTTGAGGTTGTACAAGTGTGGAAGAATGATCCAAACCAGGAAGTTTTGCCTGGGCAGCATCCTAGTAGTGTTTGTCAATGTGTATCAGGCACCACAACGGAACACTGACCCAGAGAGGCTGCAAAAAACTTTCTTTTCATGTTGTACTTTCTTGACTACTGGCAAAAGGCAACTTGTCAAGGGGAAGCAAACCTGCAATGGATCTTTTCCCTTGAAAGTGGATGGTGAGTAGAGCAGCCCCTTCATGGCATGATTATCCAGGTGTTTTTGGTTCTCAGCATTCTGCATCTTTTCTGCCCTTTCATGAGAATCAAGCTACTCTGGAAAGGGAAAAGGCTCAGAAACCCAGACTTACTTTTGAAATGGGAGTTTTGCTCTTCTAAGGGGGTGGTGATTTTTGTTTTTTTTTGTACAGGGACATGTACATATGTATATGCGCATTTTACTGCTCCTCTCAAAACCGACAGCTCCAGAAAATGGTGTGGCTTGTACTTTTCTACCTTCCCAAATGCTTTTCTATCTTCCCAAATGCTCCTCAAGGATGGAAAACATGAAAGACACTGCAGTAGAGTAACTCAGCCAAAAGGGATGCTACCAGCTTTCTTGAGGAAAGAACCCTCACAGCTGAGCTTTCCCTTGAAACTTTCAATAGCTGCCAAGGGAGTACAGAGTAAAAAAGTGATACCTGAGTACTTTTTGGAGGGATTGTCATCTCAGAGATTGCAAAAAGCAATCTCTGCCATTATTATTATTTTATTATTATTAATAAAGATAATAATAGATAGGGAAAGCTATGGTGAGCAAAAAAGGACTTGCAATCATGGTGGAGAACACAGAACCAGTGCCAGTTGCTCTGTCGCTTGGGTACTGCGGGGGCTGCTGCCACTGGTGGCGGTCCAGATGACTGCAGAAAGGTAAGCAAAGGGGTTCTGCTCTCATGACAACTGTTCTTGACAAGCAGTTCACTTGTCACTCCCTTGGACCCATGATAGGTTTCATCACCCAGGTTTGGTGACAACAGCCAGTCATGGGTACAAGAAGCCATGGTTTGTAAGGGTAGTTTGTTTTCCACAAATGAGCCACCCTGCAGGAAGCTGTGCAGGAGTCCCATGAGGAAGGGAACAAAAATGATCCAGGGTTTGGAAATACTGCCCTATGAGGAAACACTGAAAGAACTGGGTATGCTCAGCCTTGAGAAGAGAAGGCTGAGCGGAGACATTGTTTTATTCTGTAAGTCACAAAGAGGTAGATCAAGATCTCCTCCTGCTGATACCAGAGTGTAGGACATGGAATAATCAACTCTAGTTGTGACAACCCAGACTGAGGCTAGATATCAGGAAAAGCTTCCTCATTGTCAGAGCAATACAACAGTGGAACCAGTTGCCTAGAGAGGTGGTGGACTCTCTCACACTAGAGACATTCCAAAAGAAACTGGAAAGTCATCTGAGTGGGATGGTGTAAATTGGTGACCCCCAACAGCAGCGGGTTGAACTCAATGGTCTTCTTGGCCCCTTCCAACCCTACTATTCCATAGTTCTATGACATGACAAGCTACTATGGTTAGTTACCCACACTGGGTTATCATGTCATGTGAATCTGGTCACAGGCTGAACAAATTAACAGGAAATCTGTTTTGATATGTTATTCAGGCTGTATGCAACAAATTTACGAAGAAAATGGAAAAGCATTTTGTCTTCATCTGGTACTTAAGCATGGCTATCTAAGAGTCAAATCCTGACTACATGGTGTTATGTCATGTCACCCCCAGTAGTGGGGGTTATGGGAAGGTTAAACCATTAAACGACCAATGGTTTAATGTTGCATATCCCCACTTGCTGCATTCACACAACAGGGCAACCCATGGTTGGCAATGAATATGCAAGATGATGGTCAGAACACACTGCAGCTCACCATGGCTTAAATGACCCAGCGTCAGCTGCTTCACTGGGCAAATGGGTGCACTGGAAAAGCCTGGTCCCAAACCACACATGCCTAAGAGGTTTGCCCCTTTTGTTAGACTCCCCACTTGTACACATGATTTAATATCAGCTTCTTTCCTTCAGATGCTGTGCTGAGCAGTCATGCTTTAATATGTATCTATTTTTCTTCACAGAATCAGCTTTTTGTAATTAATAGTAGTGGGTCAAATTGGGATTTCATATCATTTGCAATGCTTTTGGGGGCATCTAGGGGTATGTTAAGTTCCATGAGTAACGTATACACCACACTGGGTAATAACCCGGCATCTCCTTCTTGTTCTTGATATGTGTACTGGAATCAGCAGTAGCACTGTAACAACAGAAGCAAAGCTCTGAAAATGATGGCTTGCTTCATTTGGAAGCTCACAAAGATTTGGAAGTAAAGGATACATTTGTGAGTGAGTCTGGCTCATGTTGCTCTCATATGTTATCTTATCACATCATGTGAGTAGGGCAATCTCAACACAAGAAAGCCTTCAGCCAGGACTCATTTTGTCACTAGTGTGGAATGGTAGCAATGGCTGCATTTTGTGGAATGGTGACATTTTACATATTCTACATACTTCTTGAGACAATCGTATCTTACTTGGCCAACACTTATTTTCATTAGTACCATCGTACAAGGTTAGTTAAGCCAATTGCATAGCTTTTACCATTCAATTCATTTCTTTAATGAGATCTGCTTTCTGTCACCATAATTTTGTGGAAGGCCCAAATGAACTGACTGGTGATTAACACAATTCTGATTTCTTGGCCAAGGGCACAGTCCTCTCACAGCACCTGGGGACCTTTCAGCTCGGACGCTCATGGGTAGCCTATGCAGAGTGGGAAGAGTGGCAGAAGCACTTTTTGCCTCCCTGCCCTCCCACCCTGCAATTTCATTAGATGGGTTTTCTCACCCATCTTGGTGGAGCACCTTGGAGTGGGAAGGAGGGAAAGAGGCTGAGGTAACTTAAGGGTAGCTCATGCCCGGGCTCCTCCAGTCACCTCACCAACCTGCTGCCTTTTACCTCCCTCTGAGGTCACTTTCCTAACCATGGAGAGCAGTTCTTTCTGAGCTGGCTGCAAGTGGGAGGAGAAGTAGGAGCTTGGAGGTGGGAGTACAGATTGGACTGATATTCAAATATTCTGTGTTCCTGCAGAGAATGTCTAAGGGCCAAAGGACCTCCTTGGGAACGCAGGCTGAAAGTATATCAGATTGCTGACCTTGCCTGTAGAACTCCTCACAAACTCGCTCACTCCACTGTTTGCTCATCTCCCAGAGCCGGCAAGGATTACAGATGTCTGCGCACTTCAGTGCAATCTGAAAGTAAAGGACAGCATGGTGTGAATGATACAGCAAGATACCTTTCAGAACTACTGTATATTTCAAGTAGTTGCATTAAAATGTGCCATCCTTGGGAATGAAAGTTACCAATCCAGTAATAATGTTTTAATTCTTTTGTTAACTGAGCTTCAATTTGATCATTATCAGCCAGTCCATTACTGCTATCAGGCACAGATTCAGAACTAGAATGCTTCCTTGGATTTAGATGGAGATGATAGACAGATTTCAGTGTCATCAGCAAACATCTGCTGATGTTTTTTCCTGCGGTTTATGCCTAAGTGTTAAACAGTATGGGAAACGAGATGGAATACCATAGGCCAATGGTCCATTCATCTTGTAAAATCATTCCTCCTAGAAAGACCACTTATATGATTCTTTAATGCACTTGTTATTTTCTCATATATTCCAATTTTTGTCCAATTTTTTGACTTTAGCGTTAGGGTTAGAACCCAATTCTGTTATAAATTCCTTTAACTGCATTCTTCACATCTTTGAGGCCTTTCACTACAAATAGCTGGAGAATCAACTGGCTGATACTTTCTAGCACAATTTCATCCCCATCTTCATTTTGTTATTTTCTGATCTTTTAGTAGTCCTTGTACCTTAGTAATGATATTTTTTTGCTTTGCTAATATTCTCAATATTACTCAATCTTGATTAACATTGCTGAATTAATCATTTAATTACATCTTTAATTAGTCTAAATCCTAAATTAATCCTCATACAATATTAATCACAGGATCAGCCAATTGATCAAACAGTAGATCCACTATTTATCAAGCAACCAGAAAGTACATCACTCAGCTTAATTAACTGACTTGCATACTAACTTTACTTTTTAATCAAATGCCAAGGAATTCTTTACACAATACAAAAATGCAATCAGGTAGACAAGACAGATATCTTAGTGGCTTTATTTAATACTCCTCTCATTAATGCTCAAAGTTGTTCACCTTGTATCACAATGTCATTTATCTTGCTTAAGTCTTGAGCCTAAAACAAAAATGTGATATATTTATAGTGGAACTGGAAGTAGCAAAGCCTGGATTTTTGCATGGAACATTTGCCTGGAGCGTGGTACTGGCAACAGTAGCCCAGTTTGGAAGAAAAGAACTACTCTCCTTCCTGCTGACTTGTGTGCTCTGGCGCATGTGTCTTCACTTAGTCTTACTCATTTCAGTGGACATTATTTCTGAACTAGTGCATTTAGGATTACAGCCTATGTCCTTCAGTTGAAGACATCATAAACAAGATCAAAGACTGAGGATAAGACTCCTGGGGCATCACTTTTATGTGGTCCCAGTGAATGATTCATTGGGTGGTAGAATAAATCAGGACTGATATTCAAGTTGCCCATCTCATTGCTGGATGACTAGGTCCGAATGATTCAAAAACACGTTATGCTCCTCACCTCCCTCCCGCTTCCCCTGCTTATTGAACATAAGTACAGTATTTGAGTCTGGTTTAATAGTAGGTGGTTCAGTTTTGTATGATGCCTCTTGCAAATGTGGTTACGCCATGAATATACAAAATACTATTTTGATCCAAGATGGAGTATTAGGTGCAAGATATGAAAGACTAGGGGAAAGATGGATGGATAAGTCTATAATTATTCTTCTGAAATAATGAGAGTTCATTTATATTTGTCATCGCTTGTTCCTTTCTGCCTCCTTCACAGTAACAAATTTGTTAAGCAGTCTGCAAGAGGGCTTTCCATTTCAAATAATTACTTATGCTGCTAATTTTTTTAAGCAAAAAGGTAGTTCGAAGTGGAAGGCATCTCCTAATGTCATTTCTTCATTATGCTATCATCAAAAGTTACATTTCAAGTTAATCATAATAAAAGGTTGGTGGAACCTTATATTAAAGAACCTATTAAATATGACTAAAGCAACCCATTTGAGCCCTTTTCAGCCAAAATTGGATTTGGCTTTCTCTGCTTTCTGAACAACCACCAAGCCACAAGTCAGTCCAACAGAAGAGGCTCCCTCTGCATAGGGGAATGGAGCAGCTGAAAGTTATTTAGGTATGGGCTGAGGTTGTATCCAATGTTACTTCTACTTAGAATAGATCCATTGAAATGAATAGGATTTAAGTTAGTCATTGCTAATTTACTTTTAATTAATTATATTGAAATTCATTTCAGTGGGTTTACTCTAAGTAAGACTAACATTGGATAGTTCCCAAATAGTTTCTGATATAGGGAAATAGTTTCTGATATTGGGAAATTCTAAAAGTAGGGTTGCTAGTTTCTCTTCTCGCCTCACCTTGCCTCAACTGATTTTTGTACTTCTAGTAAAATGTTCAATGAACATAAATTTCTCAAGTGAAACTCTTCCATATTTGTTCAGTTTTGCCTGCTGATTTATGGCACAGCAGAGACCTTTGAACTTTTATATTGTATTCTAGTGGAGGCATACAAAAGGGATACATTTCTTCAGATCACCTTGGTACACGAGTGTTTTATGTCTCTTTTACAATTAATAATTTGTAAGCTAGCAACACACCAAAATATAATTGTGCAAAACTCAAAGTGTGCTGTAGAGGGCTTCTAGGAAGATGCATCTCTATAGAATAACTGTCATTGTTTTGAAAAAGGTAGGCCCCATCTGGAGTACTGTGCCCACTTCTGGGCAAAATAGTTTGAGAAAGATGCAGACAAGTTGGAAAGTGTCAGAGGAGGGCAACAAGGATGATTCAAGGACTGGAAAAAAAAGCCCCATGCAGTGAGATACAGTGAAAGAACTGGACATATTTAGCCTAGAGAATTGAAGACTGAGGGGAGATATGATAGCACTCCACAAGGACTTGAAAGGTTGTCACAAAGGAGGAGGGCAGGATCACTTCTCAATCTTCCCAGAGTGCAGGACTGTTGTGAGCCAAGCTTCTCCCTCCCAGGAGTATTGCTCTCACCAGCACATCTTTCTTTGCCAAACATCTTTATTTCACATGCAAGTGTCTGAGCATACACATAGCGAAATGTAGAAGCCTCTCTGACATTCTTCACCCAAAGCTTTCCTGATTAACCCTTCTGCACCTGTCCCTGGGGGAGGGAGCACTGTGGGGCCAGGCAGGCCTGCATTCCTCCCTCAGAGATCCCAGCAGGGCCACCCTACAACTGTGATGGCGGACTATCAGGTTCATGTCCTCAGGAAGTTTTCCGCAGATGTTTTCCAGGGGCCTGAGCCAGATGTCGCTTTTGCCCAGCACTCCTATGATGGTCCATTTCAGATTTAGGGAGGTGAGGTTTTGTCACTCCTAATTGCATGGGTTCTGGGAAATGGCTTGAACTGAAGGAGGGGGCAGTCAGCTTGGGGTAACACTGGAGCTGACTGGGGTAGTACTCAGGCTGTCACCCGTAGGAAATGGTCTACATTCCAATTTGCATTCTTCTACCTGAATGTCAATTTGAAGGCATGATTGTATGATATGTTCCAGATTCCAGGGACAATCTATTTAGGATAATACATCCACATTTTCAGTTGCGGAGTCCCTCTCGATATTGGGCTATATAAGCAACATCATTCCAGTTTAAAGCATGCATTAGCAATTGAAATTGTGTTGTATAATTTGAGACTGAATGTTTTGATTGTCAGAGACAATGAATTTCTTGGGTAGCAACTTCATTTCTCAGTTCATCTCCAAAAAATCTGCCCACTGCTGTAATGAATGCTTGATAATTATTCAGGAGAGGATCGTTAGCTAGCAGATGCACAATCATCCATTTCCCCCCCAGGTCCTATCAAGAGACTAATTACACATCCTATTTACACTTGCTCATTAGGGAAGTTTTCAGCCCATAAGTACATATAGAGTTCACATTGAGCCTGGAAAGTAGGAAACTGTTTTCAAGTTCCATCAATGCCTCCTCCTTCAGAGACCTGAACTGAGCCCCCCCCCCCCCCCAAGGCTGTGATGACAGACTATCAAGTCCACCTCCTCAGGAGGCTAGAGTTCTCCATCCAATAGACTCTCCATCTCTAAATCTCTTCCCTTGAGATGTTGTGGGTTGAGTGGCCCCCTCAGCTGCCCTTGAACTAATCTTCCCCACAGCCAGGGCCTGGGGCAGCAGCTGGGACTGGTGCCATTTCAATAAGCATCTTGTTATCAGAGTCTGAGTAGTCAGTCCCACCAGGATAGACAGCTTCCCCTGCCTCTCCTGCAAATATCTCATCCATGGATTCTGAACTCTCAGTCCCACGAAAATGGGTAGCATCTCATGCACACGTCTGAGGTTTGCCAGAATGTGTGTGCATGACAAGGACATGGCATAACAAGCTCAAGTTACAGGAAGCCAGGTTCTGGCTGGACATCAGGAACAACTTCCTGGTTGTAAGAGCAGTGCGACAATGGAACCAATTGCCCAAGGAAGTTGTAGGCTCCCTCACACTGCATTCAAGCTGCAATTGGACAGCTATCTGGGAGGGAAGCTTTAACTTGGAGTCCTGCACTTAACTTGGAGTCCTGGCACCTTCCAGCTCTACTGTTCTATGTTTCTATATGATTTCTGCTGCTGTAATTGTCTAAATAGTCAATGAAACACCACCCCAGAGACTCTACTAAAGATATGAAAGCCTGAATCCCCTCACTGGAAAAACACATTTTTACTTATTCTTCTCCCCAAAGGCCTTTTTTCCCCCTGAAAAACCAAACAGTTCTAGGTTAGAAAATATTTTCTTTTAGAGATGTGAATAAAATACTTGAAACAAGGTTTTCGTATTGCTACCTGCCGCTTTACTCCCTCAGATACTTTTACATAATGGGAAGGCATTTATATAATGCAAGAAATATCAATTTTTAAAAGAAACTTTGAAACCCTAGCTCCTAAATAACTCACCCACCTAGGCTTGCACATCACATTTACAACTTCCACTCAGGTCCCTGAAAATTATGGATTAAATAACCCAAGATTTGCCACCATCATCAACAACTTTGTCTACAGACTTGATTTCCCAACATGCCATCCGAATTCTTCTGAAGCAGAAACAGGTGCTTTATATAAGTCTTCCTCTGTCTCTAGGTTTTTCTGCTTCTTCTGGCTCCTAGGATGATTCTGAACTTTCAGCGACTACTGCTGACTTTTCCTCCCATCAGACATAGTATATTGCAGGGGTGGCCAGCCTCTCTCAGTGGAAGAGCCACATACCATAAATGTCAGATACTTGATAGCTGCAAGTGGGCGCCATGGGCAGTGGCAAGGGGTGCCCATCGGCACCTGCAGTACTGAGCAGCGGGCCTCAAAAGAAACGCAAAGATCCACATGCTGCTCCTGAGCCTTGGTTTGGTCACCCCTGGCAATTCTTCAGATTTATTCTGGAATGACAATCCCCATGCCTTAGTTTTTAAGATGTCAGAAGTATTTTTTGCTCTTGCTGCATTATATGAACAGGGATCCTCTGGAATTTTTTCCTCAGAAAATGGTAACATTTGATCTACTACTCAATAGTAAAGTTTATTTAGACAATTGTACAATTACTAACTGAATTTACTTTTAAATATTTTTAATTAGTTACAATTTTATGAGGATACCAAGTTTTACACAATACATTTTATGTTCCTAAAATATCAAAGGGCACAGTCCTGCAGTCTCCCATATTTCCTGCATTGTCCACATTTCTGAAAATGGTGCATTCTTAGGGTTTTCTGCACTCTCAAATATTTGTTTTGGTTACAGAACAAAGGTCTAGTAGTTTGGTTTTTAGCTGAACTCTGGGAAAAGGGAAGGATGAAAAGACATTTTACTGCTGTTTCTTCATACAGCCAGGTTGTGGGTGGGGAGAAGTGAGAGCATCATGTTGGAATTAGTCTCATATACTGCCCCTGAAGGAACTGATACTTCTGCCTTTGGCCCAGGAGCACGGCCTCTCTCTCTCTCTCTCTCTCTCTCTCTCTCTCTCTCTCTCTCTCTCTCTCTCTCTCTCTTTCATTTTCACAAAAGATAAGAAAAGGAAAGGAAAGAAACAAGATACAAATAAAAAAGAGAGATGCATATATCTTTTATATATAAAAAAGAAAGAAAAGGATACCAAGGGATATTACAGAAATATAGCATATAATTTCAACATCTAACCAGTTCACGAGAAAGCAAAAATTCCCATCTCCTCTAGCCACAGTTAAATCAATCTATTCTCAATTAAGGTTTGACAACAGATTAATCTAATTTATCAAAACCATGGTAAATAATGTCTTAATTTTGGCATGAAGTACAAGTCTTGAATAACAGTTTTACAAATTCCATTTTTAAATATTAGTTGAATTCCTCCTTATAAGCTTTCCATTTTTCAGCAAATTCTCTGACAGGCCCTCTATTTATATAGCTGATTATATAAAGCATGCCCCTTTTCTTCTCTTATGAGGTCATAGGTTCTGCAGCCAGCAGGTGAGGAAAGAAGGATCAATGAATGGATCGCCCCCTCTCAGTTCTAACCCTAACCCTAACTCTGTCTATGGGCACAGGGAAGGAGATCCTATGGTGTGCCAGACACTGTTTAGGGTCCATAATGTCACCCTCTAAAAGTTTTGCTGAATTATGTTGTGTCCAATTTTAATCTAATTTCAATCCCATTCATTTTAATAGAACAACTCTATTAAAACTCTATAAACTGCAATCCAATATTTCTATCATATCTTCAGCGAGACCCTAGTTCAAGGTAACTACCTGAAACTGGAAAGTGGCTTGAGTTGGACTTCATGCTATGGAAACAAACTTGTATGCGTACAAAGTGTTTGAATTTATTTGTTTGTAATTCTCCATCAAGCATCTTGCATGAGGAAATATTACATGGGAATTGTAACTTTCTCATCAGTGGGAGCTCTGATCCCTGTGGAGCCTTGCACAGTTATGTTTCTGTGTTAGCTTGTCTGAGAATTTCTCTGGAAAACAAAGTATCAATGCAAAAGGCCATGTTGGATGAGTCTCAGAGTAGATTACTGGTGGAAAAGCAGGCGGTGGTGGAGAATACAGGGTTTTGCTCACTTCTGCCAAGCCGGGAGGATGCTTAAAAGATTTGGGGCAGAGAGAACCCCACTATGGCTCCTTATGTGTTCAAGAGTCCCACCCACCAGCCCCAGTAACCAGCCTGCTTGGCTTCTGTCTCCTGCAAGAAACTGCCTCAGGCAAGCCCTGTCTTTACATGAAGACCACAGAACTTCAAGCCTGGGAATCAGATCTCCTGGTTTCCCAGAAGGCCATGCCCCTCGCTTCTAACCTCCAGTCATTTGGTAGCTTCCTGGCTCCTGTACAGCTTTTTTTCCTATTCTAAAAAGTTGAAACGCCTCTCCTAAGGGTTAGTTCCTGCCAGTAAAAGCTTTAAGCTCAGTGTGTCATACTTTTGCAATTTTGGTCTACCCCTTTTACTTTTGGCACCACCCCCTGCTGGAACACATCTCCCACGAAATTGCAATCCCCCTGTTTTAGCCCTCAGGGTGGAAGAAATTCAATGCTCCAGCTGTATTACAATCTTCTTGTACTTGTACGATAGGAAAAACGCTTTTGCATAAGTAACAAGTTGGGAAATCTCGAAATGTGGTACATAAAATTAAATGCCATATGTTCAATATTTTATTTTAAAGGGCTTTTATCTCTGTACACCAGCCCAAGACAAAAGAGCTTGGCTGCTGCATGTAAAGAAATGTAATAAATGGATATAATAAAATTTACTTGGCCATAGAACATTGTCAAATTTTGACTCTTTGCCTCAACAAGTCCAACCTTTGAGAAGACATTGGCAGATTGGCCACATATTTAACATCCATATGAATTGCTTGGTCACAGAAAGAGATCTTCAGAAAAACAACTTATTTTCATGAAAAGGTAGGAAAATGTACATCACTTACCTGAAGCATAAAATGCCTATCTGGAGCATCCTCTAATTTCAAATCCTGATTTTTGAGATGGGCTTTCAACCGGGTCAAAAATTCATTCTGCCTGTTGATGTCTGTTGCTAAGATCAGGGAGCCCAGCTGCTGTTCAATATCATGCCTGAAATTCACAAAGAGAAAAAAAAAAAAGCTGTGCTTTGATCAAAGGATTGTTAAATGCCTCTGCTTCCATCTTTGGCACCAGTTACTGCAGTGATTCTTCGAAGACTCCTACGTAATGGCCCTTGGCTTTGGCATACTTTATAGCCTGCCAATCTTCTATCATGCTGTGGTCAAGACTAAAATCCATCTCAGGGAGGACATACACATGCTGGCATGGCACAACTGCTCCCAGCACATGTTCCGCAACTGCTTCCTGGTAAACTGTTGCATTGTCACAATTATTTGTGCATTACTTTCTTTGCCACAGGTCCAAAAATGCATCTGCTAGCAGGTGGAGGAGGAAAATCTGTGGCTTTCAGAAGAAGACCTTGGAGGTTCTATAATCTCCTTGGAGATGTTTAGTACAGGAATTCCTTCACCAAAACTGGTGAACACTTGAGTAGGAGTGAGACACAACACTGGGGATTCTTGGATTTGTCCTTTATCTAAAATAGCCTTTCCCAAGTTGGTGACTTTTGGATGTGTTGGACTTCAGCTCCCATCAATCCCAGCTGCCATGGCCAATGGTCAGGAACCCAAGGAACAGTACCCTCTAAATGTTTTGGACTATCAGGTTGGGACTGGCTGATTTAAATCAATGAGTCCAACACACCCAAAATTTCTGATGCTGAGTGGAGGGGGGCATTGAGGGGAGAAAGAAAACCTCTCTGGGAGTTAACTGTTTTTGTCACCTATGCTGCACCTGTTCTGGAAAGGAAAAGGAGAAAGGTGAGGATATGAGTGTTGGGAAAGAATGGTTGGGTTTCCATTCTGAATATGAATGCTTGGGAGAGGAAATTGCAGACTGGAAGGATTATTTATTTGCTTATTTATTTAATTGCTATGCTGCCCAATAGCCCAAGGCTTGCATCCCATTTGGACTAAAGTTCTCTGCAGACCCTAAGATCATTTTCAGGTCAGACAAGAATGAACTTTTGCACAAACTGCTAGGGAGATGAAAAGCTAGGTGGAACCCACTGGCCAGCAAAGCTTGGAGGTTAGCTCTGCTATACAACAGAGTCGAATGCTCCAAGATGGGAATGTTTATGTTAAGAACCAGCTGTGCACGGGTGCTTGGTGCCCTCCAGCTGTTTTGGACTATACCTTCCATCGATGCCAGCCATGATGGGCAATGATAAGAGTCCGTGTGGCACAGTGACCAGAGTACTGGATTGGACTCGGGAGACCCAAATTCTAATCCCTGTTCACTGGGTGACGTTGGGCCAGTCAGTCACTCCCAGCCTAACCTGCCTCTCAGCATTGTTGTTACGGGGATAAAATGGAATGGTTGAGGACTATATAAGCCACCTTGGGTTCCTTGCAAGGGAGAGAAAGGTGGGATATACATGCAATAATAATTCTTATTCTTCCTTGTTCTCCCATGGAAATATAAAATCCCTGACTATTTTACCTTTATGACCAATATAAGAGATATAACTTACAAGATATCGTTATTGTTGTAACTCCATTCTTCCATTTTTTTTACTCAGAGGGACATTAATTTGTCATGGAACTTAATTCCATGAGAAGACCACTATATTTAAAAAAATCTAATGACAGCAGATGTTGTTGTTATAAAATTTATATGCCATCTATTTCACCAATGACATCCCTAGGCAGCTCATGTTCTGCTGCAGGATTCTTTAGAACTTTTACCCAAAATCAGGTTGCCCAAAACTTGATCCAAAAAATGAGAACCAAGATACTTCAAATTCAACTCACTTATTTTATTTGTACCAGGAAACAGAATTCATTACTTGGTAACGACTGTAGCTTTTTCAGAGCAGGAGTAGGGAACCTTGTATCCTCTAGGATTTTTAGACTGCAACTCTCATGATGTCTTACACCATGCTGGCTGGGGTTGATGGGTGCTGCAATCTAAAACATCTGGAGGACATCAGGTTGTTAATCTTTCTTCCAGAGCATTTGCCCCTTATATTTATATGCCTGCTTCCAGTGTAGTAGGTCCTGGCACACTGCCCTGGGACAAGCTATCACACCTGCATACAGGTATACCCCAGGAGCCTGTTGGTAGCCAAGTGGGCACTTTTAATTTAAAAAGTGAGCCAATATTTTATCCATCATCTTTCCTGTACTACAATTTAATCAAACAATGGAATATGCCATGATTTTTCCCTGAAAAACAGTGATCTGGGTGAATGATTTTCTGTAATTTTCCATATTTTTCCTTCCACCCCATTTCTAAAAACACATTGTTTCATAATATAAATTAGTAATATGACTCAGTCAGATGTTTAAATAGCTAAAATTTCTCTCAAAACCTTCAGTGAGAAGGAAAGACATTTTAGCAGAAGGGCAGCAAAATTGCTGCACATGTTTGGAGGAGGGAATGGCAATATTTTTTCTCTTTAACCTTTTGTTGCTGCCACTATCTTTTTATCAGCAGCAAAGGAGAGGCTGGCCTCATTGGCTACTGGGTGATGGCCACCAGTTTATTTTCCCAGAATGTCCAGGGCATATGAATTTCCAGGACACACTGTGGTAGTTCATAGAGCCTTCAAGGAATATGTGTGATTTGTATATTATTTTGTCCCAGAATGACACTGTGTCTAGGGCATTCTGGGAAAATAAAATATCAGCTGGCAGCCATCAAAGAAGCTCTGCTGTTGCTGCTGCTGGAAGGCTAAGTTTGCCCACACGGTCCTGAAATTTGCCACTACTTCCTCCAAAATAGTAACAAATTTGAGACCAGAGGAGCTTTTGGCTTGGTGCTGGAATGGAAACAATGCCAGTCAAATAAGGAATTTTCAAAGATATAATTATACTTTCTTTGAATGACTATCCCTAGGAAACATATGCTTCCAGTCTTTCTCTCCCAAGTGCAACCTCATCTCTCTTTCTACCTGTAGGACATTGTAAAATGTTCGAGTCCGTTTTTTATGAGAAACCTGCATCACTGTCATATAAGCCCATTTCGCAGAGTGTGGTGTTTACCTTTCTTCCTTGGGCAGATGTGCAAGCAGCCTTGATTCTCGAAGCATACCTATCGTAGACTTCCAGTGATGGTTTTCTAATACAGAGACATTCTGCAGAAGGAAGAAACAAAAACCAAAACATGCTCACCCTGACCAGGCATAGTTCCATAAGCATACAGAAGCAGACATGTGTGCGCATTTCCTTAATTGGAGAGGATCCAGCACATGCCAATGAATGCATCATTTCCCAGCCTGTACAGGAGTCAGGGCACAAAACTCCCGCTATATTTGCCCTGCTGTCCGCCAGCTTTTCTGGAATGGGTCAGGGAGCAGGGCTGCCTCCTTAGCTTTATTGATGTAGCAGCATTATCAGTCTCCAGGTAACTAATAGAACACTGTTCTGTGTATGTTAATTTGGAACTTTAGTTCTGATGCTAGTAATGTGATTAATGCCAATTTGTTGCTGGAGAGTTTATAAGTCAAGGCAGGGAAGTGGCAGAAATGCTGGAGCTTGTGTTTTCATTTTCAATTGCTTGGAGGCAAAGCCTGCACAGGGTAACAAGGCCTTTTCGTTGTGGGAGCAGATTCCCAGGTCCTTGTCATCAGTGCTGAAGGCTCCCCTGCTGTCCTTGTGGCAAGAGAGCTCAGATTAGACCTGTGTCCTTTGAGAGGCAAACTATAGCACTTGGTACATGCTGTTCTCATCAGGAAGGCAACCTCATCATGCTTAAATGATTGAATGTATTTGAAATAACACAAGGGGTGAATCCAGCCAGGGTTTTTCTGCTGATGAGATTTTTATCAGTCGAACAGGGAGGGGACAACTCCCTCTCCTTATCCTCCCTTAATTCTCTAACTCTATTGCCACCAAATGATCCATCTGCCCCTCAAAGCGATTTCCAGCAACTAATGAAAACAGAGAAGCCTTGGCCTTGACATTGTTAGCAGCACGCTCTTAAAAATACTTTCTTGCATCACTTCTTGTCTATTTCCCCGTTCGCCCCCCCCCATGCCACTCCCCAAATCAGCTTCTTCACTTCCCCTCACTGAGCAGATACATGCACATTCAAGTCACAACAAAGAAGTCAAATGTTTAGATGCTCTATAACAACTGTGGGCAGAAAGCAGATCTCCAGGTGCTTTGGAGAAATCTGGAGATCTTCCTGCCCACACCTTCCCTAAATGACTATGCCTTACAACACCAGGTCATGGGACTGATCAGAGGAGAGGCAATCCTGGACTTGTTTCCAGGGATCTAGTACAAGGTATGTGTTATTGAACCAATTGGAAACAGTTGCATATCAGTTTGAATTTATATTTCGGTGGGAATTCACCTAAGTCAAAGCACAATCAAATTTGACCTAAAATTAAAAAGTTCTCCAAAATGGGGGGGGGGGGGAAATTGAAAGTGGGAGTCAAGCAGGTTAAACCCCTCCAAAATCTCTGGGAATTATTCAAAATAGAAATTCAACCAGAATTAATACTACAATTTGCACCAGGTCTAAGGGGTCACCAGTCTGGTTAAGAAGCAGTGTCAAAGAAGCTCTTACAGGGGGAAAATGCTTTTTTTGGTAAACTGAAAGTCTTGCCTAAAAGAGGAAGACAAAAAGATGCGCTAACTTGTACACAGGATATGCATATAGACTATAAGTGATGTGAAAAAAGTATTTTTAAGAGCATGCCACTAATAATGTCATGGCAACAACAGGGTTTCTCTGTTTTCCTCATATGCTGGAAATCATCTAGGGAGGCAGCTAGATCATTGGATGACAATGGAGTTAGAGAATTAAGGGAGAACACAGAGATTACAGAGATGATCAATGAATTATTTTTGTTGTACTTCACTGCAAAAGACATGGGACAGATATCTGTAACTGAAATGATATCTTCAGGAAGGAAGAGCTTGAGGCAAATAACGCTACCAAGAGATTAATAGCTTTATCTTATAGACAAGGTGAAAGCCAATGAATCAAAAAGTATCTGATTCAGATGGTATATAGCCCTGAAATCTTGAAGAACTCAAATGTGAAATGGCTGAACTTCTTAGGAAAACATGCAACATATCCCTAAGATCAGCCTCTGCCCCAGAGGGCCAGGGTATATTTTTAAAAATGCCAGTTTTTAAAAAAGAGATCCTATTTACAGGAAGTTACAGGCTGGTTAGCTTAATGTCTGTTCTGAATAAAGCTGTGCAAAGCTTTATTAAAGAAATAATATTATCAAACATACAGGACAGCAAGCCCTGCTAAAAAACAATCAACATGGCTTCCACAAAAGTAAGTCCTACCTCACTAAATTTTAGAATTCTTTGAGAGTGGCAATAAACATGTGGACTGGGGCAGTCCAGGAGAAATATTTTACTTGGCCTTCCAACAGGCTTTTGACAAAATCCCACATCAAAAACTCCTGAGCAAATTTAGCAGTCTGGGATGAGAGAAATGGTTCTCTTATGGATCGATAACTGGTTAAGGAACAGAAAGCGGGGAGCAGGAATAAATGATCAGTTCTTCTAGTGAATTGATATTAAACAGTGGGGTCCCACTGGGATTTGTATCATGGCAGGACCTTTTTAGTTGATTGATAAATGAACTGAAATTAGGAATGAGCAGTGAGGTGGCCACATTTGCCTGAACTTACTTAGGGTAGTTGAAACAAAAAGGGATTATGAAGAACTCCAAAAGATCTCTCAAAACTGGGAGAAGGAGCATTAAAATGGCAAATGATGTTCCAAATATAGCAATACATATTGAAGGGAAGAGATTCCAATTTCAGGTATGCATGAAATGAGATCTAAGCTCACGGTGCCTGCCCAAAAAAGAGATCTTGGAGGCATGGAGAACAGGTTAAGGAAAATGCCAACCTTATATGTGCTTGCTGTGAAAATGTGGATCCCATGCTTGGCATAATCAGAATGTCTTTATACAAATTATGATGTTGACCACATATGGAATACTGTGAGCAGTTGTTATTACACCTCCAAAAGGATGATTGTGGCGTTGGAAGACATACAGAAAAAGACCACTACAATGATGGGCTAATGCAACTTCGATATGAGAAAAAATTGCAATATCTGGGTCTGTTTGACTCAGAAAAAAGCAACACAGGGGAAATGAAAGAGGTATACAAGATCATGCAAAGTGGGGCAAACATGGTCAGTAATACCAGAACCCACATCGTCCTGTGAAAATGAATGATGGGAGATTCAGATATAAGATGGAAGATGACAGATAAAACAAAGCACTTCTTCCTATGGAATTTACATCTGGTGCCAAGATTATAATCTTTTCAGCACCAAGTGAAATCTTCCCTTTGTCAAGGTATTTTGAATGATAACATTGCCCCACCTGCTTTGCTGTTTTTATCGTTTTACTTCCCTGTTGTCTGTTTCAATTGTTGTTTATGTTTTTTATATTTATATTGATGCGATTAATCTTATTAATTCCTTTGTACACTGGCCCAAAAAACTGTTTGAATGAAAGAGGCAGTTCAGAAATATTTCAATTAAATATCTCTCTTTAAACTATCTCTAAAGAGAGAGAGAGTTAAACTGTTTCTAAGCTGCCCTTCATACTGTGCAGAATATCAGTGAAAAGTACACCATCATGCAGGAGTAATTCAGCCTTTTCTCTCCACCCCTCTCCAGAAGCCCGGACGTTTAGGAGAGGCTGGAGCAGTGCCTCACAGCTCTGTGTCCAGTGCTTAGCTTCAGCTCGTCCAAACTGCTACAGTATGTTGAGCTAGTCATGGGGTCTTTCAGCATCGCTTTGTCACAGCCTTGGGCTGTCATGGCCATGTCTGTTCCTTTATCTAGGGGAGAAGGACAGTCTGGGTTGTTACACAACAGATCTCTCCAGGAGGAAAAAAAAGCAAATGGGAGGAAGACTTTAAGAGACAGAATCCTTCAGTGAGTTTTCCTGATTTGCTGATTATAACAAATACTGCCAACCAGCAATAATGATCGAGTCTCCCAGATGCGAGCAACGTGCAACTTCAAACAGCCCAGTGAATCCTACTCATTGAAACGTTGGCATGTGTTGCAGGATGGGAGCAGCCCCTTCATGCTGCACCAAGCACATCTGTTAAAGGGAACTCTGTACAGATCAGGTGAATAATTTGACTTCTCCTATGCCAGCATCATTTCATTGGCTAATTAAACAGGCTGTTAGGTAGGATATGATACAGCCTGTATCTCCAAGGTTACAGTTTCTTTATATTGCCAAATATAAATATTCCTTAGTGAATATTGGACACTAAAAAGCAATACTGCTTCCTGAAGGCCGTTTCTCATATGGGAGCAGCTTTGGGAGTCAGTTACATCTCAAACGGTATCAAATTGAAAGATTAAGCTTTTAATTATATCCATCTGTCTTGGAGAGAAGACATGTAAACTCTGGAACTATTTCCATATACATTTCCTTCATGCTTTCCTCCTATATAAATAAATGTATTCTGGTTCCAACATCTGAGATAATCAGATATGATTTATATCCAGGCCATGTATATAGTTTTATGGAGGGGGGAGTCACTCCTCTGGATGCAGGCGGTCCAAATTTTGCAACTAGAAAATCAGAACTGGCTAACAATTATGAAACGTAAGCAAACTTGTATACTTTACCTGGTTTTTTTCCAGTAAATCTTAGCTTTCCTAATCATGGGGGGAAAGGGGGAATGGTGTATTTTTGCAGCTACCATATTCTACGTTCTTTCTGTACAAAGCAAGCTAGTGATCTCCTGAGAGAAGCCTATTTATTTCTTTTTTTAAAAGGAAGAGCTGCATCCATACAGATGCAATCCTTGTAAGCAGTCACTTCGTTGTTCACCATGCTTTCTTTCTACTTTTTAACGGGGCAGATACGTTATTTGTTTGGGGAGGCACAAATGACAGTTCCATTCTGTAAATGGCAATTAGTGACAGGGAGGTAGAGGGGGTGGAAGGGGAAAGTGGTTATTCACCTGCAATACAACGTTGAAAAATGTGAGTTTCAGCCTGCAATTGAAAGAGTAACTAACAGCAGAGCAACATTCTCACCTGATATAAACTGGCAAGATGGTGTTTGGTTTTTATCAAAAATGGCTGGTTGACTCCCGGATGATCTACATCATGGGCTGCAGCAGCCAATAATCCAAGCATGATGTCCAGAGGTGTGAGGAAGTTAGCAAGCTGTATCGTGAGAAAAAATAATTCATGGTTAAATGAAACATGAAAAATTTATCTTGCCATATTTCCAACATGTATGGTTTGTATTCAATGTTAATCTAACTTAAGTCTCATTCATTTCAATGGATCTACCCTAAGCAGAACTAACACTGGATACAGTCCTATATCAATACGCTGTAAGCTCATGATGGGGCCCATTTTCAGGATACTTAAGAGGCCAAAAAGTTTATATCACAGCTTTACATTCTTAGCATACTCCATTTTTGCAATAACAAACTCTTTAAGTTTCAGGGAACAAGTGAGATGCTATTTATTAAAACTGGGGGGTGGGGGGCAGCAACTTGCTGCCAAAGGATGATGTAGATAGAAGTGATAACCGGCTGAACTCATCAGGCACTTCACTGCTGCCACAGTGACAGATATTAATGGTAAGCAAAGCTAGTACACTGCGTACAAGCAGGATGCTATCTGATCTCAAAAGCTAATATTTACCAAGAATGTTCCTCACTACTTAAAACCAACAAACAAAAACAAAATCAAGCAGTTTAGGCATATTGAGCTGGATCCTGACTTTGTCATGAGTAAGTTTCATTTATTTTAGTTGGTCATCTCTAACTATAACCAAGTCTGGATCTGACCCCAAATGCATAAATAAGTCTAAATGCCTAAATAGAGAGTAGTACCAGGGCTTCCCCAGCCATGCCAGCAGAGCCCCAAAATGCCTCATCTCCCACTACAAACGTGAAGATGTGAGGTGTGGCTGAATGCTAGAAATACTGTGCACCTTGAACACAATCCACAACTAAGGCATGGCACTGAGAATGGTCTGAGACTGATCTCTGGATACCTTTATCTCCATTAGGGCACAATCCTATGCAGGTTTAAGCACAGAAAAGTCCACATGCTGGGAATTGTAGGACTTTTCTCTGTCTTTATCGGCTCCGTCAGAAGACCAGAACATGGACACTTTGGCATGAAGGAAGCAGGTGTGGGTTAATCTTATCTTTCCCCACAGCTTGCAGGCAACAACTACACCAAGCAGATGTGGAGGGCATCAGTTTCTAAGATTTCCTATCAAGGATTATGCCAATACTACTTCTGCCCACTGGGGAGGAGGGGGACATCCCAAAATGGGTTCCCATGGTGCACTGCCATTCCACCAACCTCTCCCTGATCAAACCCATCCATCAAACCACAAAGTTGGAGAGAATGGGAACATGCAAGGGAACTGGGAGAAAGGATGCGTCGGATTTTGACTGAAAAATATCTAACAGAGGAAAGGATGTGCAAACAATTTCTATCGGCTTATTTTTAAAAAAGGCTGGATGAAAGGTTTATTAGTGATTCAGAAGGGGTGGCAAGGCTGTTTTCAAAAATCCTGGAACTAAGCTGAGTTCAGTGGGTTGTACATTATGTTTGAGATGCAGTCGATTGCTTTTTTAAAAATCACCCATCTATAACCCACATTCATTATAGAAAGTGTGAAGGTTTTGAAAAGAGATTCAAGACTTTAGCCACATAACAAACAGCAATCTCATGCCTCCTCATCTCCTGCATTCTTCCCCTGTCATCTTCTCCTTTCACTACCCACAATGCTCCTCTCCTCACTCAGCCTATCTGTGCTTTTCTCCATGCCTTCCTTTGCTTTCCTCCCGCCCTCCATTCTCCAGCTCAGCCCCTCTGTGCTCTTTCTCCTCTGTCTCTCTCCCTGCCTTTCAGCTGATCACTGGTGTTCTGTGCAGGGCACGGGCAGCTGCAGGCTGGCCCGAGTGCCACCAGGAGACACGAGAGAGGCGGCAGTGTGGCCACAGCAGCCATCTGGCTTTCAGATCGGGTGGATCTCCTGCAGGCAAGCTAGCAGACAGAAACACAGGTGGCTGAGACGGTGAAACGGGCAGTGGAGGCAGGGCTTGCACGGCAAGTCACTTGGGCTTTTGGAAAAGCCAGGACAACGGCACTACCTGCCACTCCACTCAGACATTCCTCTGGGCTCAGCAGCAATCCATGGAGTGTGGGGAGGAGATGAACATCCCCATCAACCATGCGACACATGATGCACTCTCCATGTTGTAACGCCATGATTTGGGGAGTATCCTACTCTTGCATGGGCAATGGGGGCCCAATCAGCTTTACAGAAGACCTGCTTTCTAATGGAGATGAAAAGTGCCAGAAAGGTATGCTAATTTTTACATGGATCAAGGAAGCAGCCTGCTTTCGGACCCTCCTTGGGGGACTGGCTGTAACGAAGGCCATGTTGAGCACCTTCACTGGGTGGGAAGTGGGAGGAGGTGAGAGGCAGGGGCCGCCTCCAAGAGGGCTCCATGGGGCAGGGCAAGTGGAGCCACAAGACCTAGGAGTGTTCGCAGCCTGTTTTAAACAGGAAGCTGTTAGGATAAAAGGTAAAGGTTTCCCATTGACATTAAGTCAAGTCACGCCTGACTCTAGGGGGCGGTGCTCATCTCCATTCACCTCGTTGTGCAGATTCGAACTGGCGACCTTTCAATCAGCCAGCCTAGCAGCACAGCGGTTTAAACCATCGTGCCACCTGCAGTCCCTGCTGTTAGGATGCAAAGGCTCTAATTTCATGCGGAGCTCTCGGTAAAACATGTGGGGTTACGTCCTCATGTGCACATCACAGCCTATGTGCTTGTCACCGTCTGCACAGATCCGGCCACTCTTACTTGTTCTAGGAGCTAGGTCAGCACTTCTGCCTTCCGCCAGACTTAAGAATGGCCTATTATAATTTCTTACTGACAAATAGGGTCAGTGCTATTTTTAACACTGCCTCCACGGTCACCCACGTTTTAGTCCGCTGCGTGATTTGACATGCTAGAGCATGAGGCATGCATCATGCAGCCAATTTTGCCAGGTTTCGGTGACACAAGAGAGAGGCAATACAGATGCAGAGAAGTGCAGCCTTGGCCACACTGATGTTATCAGCAGAGAAAGGGGCCATTGCGTGCAGTGAAAACGTGCCTGGCAGTTCCAGGATATGCTCACCTTGGGCTCCTTTAGGTAACAGTGCATAGCTTGTGTGACATCAGCAGCATGAACAGCGTTGTGGTACGGGTTCTGGCTATGGTAATCCTCTTGCACCATAACTGGAAGCAAAAGAAAAAAGATTAGCCTACTCGAGTCCTGAGCAGCATCTGAAACTTTGGTTTTGTGCCTCCAATTCAGCAGACTGGAGTGCTTTCTAAAAAAATTATGGTCTGGCACTCCAAGAAGACTGTCCCTTGGTGGAAGAAAAACAACACACACACTCTAGAAAAGATTTGTCAGACCTTAAAGGAAATGAGCCCTGCTTTATAAATCACCCTTTTATTGCTTTTAATGAAAGCACTGATTCAGAAGAAAAATAAATAGCATTTGGTGGGAGGAGAGGAAAGTGGGGGGGCGGTATACTGTAGTGTAATTATTTAAGTCTGTTTTCCTATATGGAAATCAGCAAGGCCATATTTGTTTTAAGGGAAGCAGCTCTTACCCCCAAACAGTTTGTCACCCCCTTTATGTTATCAAGAAATTAAAAGACAGCGCGTCTACAGCCAAACTAGGCATAGATTGCTGGAGTGCCCATTTTTGTTATGCAAATAGTGACCACGGGGAGCTGGGATGGAGGGATGAGGATAGTAAAAATCATCCCTCCAGAACTGCTATTTGCATTCCAAGAAAAACTTCCTTCGGGGTCGATGGGAACTTCACCCTTTGGGAAGGCCATTTTCGTCAGGACTGCGGCAGGGAAAAACAGGTTAAAGAAAGACTCCCCATAGTTCTGAGGCTGCTCAGACTATCCCTTGGGTGCAATTTGCACAGACAAAAAAATGTGCAGGCTCATTGCATCTCTCCCTCCCTCCCTCCCTCCCTCCCTCTCTCTCTCTCTCTCTCTCTCTCTCTCTCTCTCTCTCTCGTGCACACACACACACCCTATTCAGTCCTGGAACAATGCCTTTACTGGGCTGCATGGTACTTTTTCAACATATGTGGTGGCTGCAAAACATGTAGTGCTACCAGCCCACCATGGGTTGATTGGCACTGCAGAAGGTGACAGCACTGTGGCCCGTGCTCTTTGTGCTACCCTATGTGTGAAGCCAACAGTGTATTTTCCTGCCCCACGACCTTTCTGGTTTTTTTCAAGAGCTCCCTCCCACACTTTGGATGCAGCTCTTGTGTCCTAGGATATGTGCCCACATGCCCCACCGTAAGGCAACTTCTCTGCTGGAAAGATCCAGCAGTAATTCAGTTCACAGACCCAGGGTAATTTCAGCAAACGTCAGAGTCAGGTTTCTGAAAATCACCCTTGCACTGAGGCAAATATAGCCCACACATTCTCAGTTTGAATTATGACTTTTTTAATTCTAGTATTATTAAATTCCCCAAGCCACTTGTATTTTCCAGTTCTGGAGTAGTTAAATTTCCTCTGGAAAACTGGCAGAGAACTTTACAGCTCTCTCTAAACCCATTACCAGAAGGAGTGAGAAGTCCATCATTTTGCTGCTGAAATCTGATTGTGCCATGCAGTTGCCTGGTTTCAATTCACCAAGGACTGATAAACTGTATGCCACACTATTCCAGCAGTTAAGAAAAATGTATTACATCCTCAGACATTCTCCTGCTTGAGAACTGTCTTGAAGAGTGAATAAGAATACCAATTCACAATTCAGTTTCCCAAGAGTACAGGAGACTGGCAGAAAGCACTCCTTTCAAATAAGTCTGCACAGTCCTTCTGAATTATCTCTCCAGATCAAGGCAGAGTGCAGAAGATGGTGCCAAGACAGTGTGCCAGTGCTAGATGTCCCATTATCCTCTTGTATATGTGGCCAAGTTGGCCAGGCACAATTTGTTGTGCCATCTGAACCCTCCACCAACCCTACCACAGCCCGTGGATGATTATGCAAATTCTTCCTGGCACACACTGCAATTCAGATAAACCACTGTGATGAAATATACCATTAATATGTTGATTTTGATTGTGCAAAGCAGTGTATTGTGTGGTGGAAAGGGAAGGAGAGCATTATGAGCCTGAGACCTTTAGAGTCGAGTGGAAAAGAGCAAATAGAGATCAGTGATGTATTTAATTAGTATCGTGGCCCCATCAAAAATAGCAGTCAAAGTGGCTAACAATAACAATAGTGATGAAAAGAAACTTGCCTGAAATTTAACATAAAAACCAATCTGTTCAAAACACAGTGAAAAAGCACAATAGATGGAGCTGAAAATGTCACGGGTGGCAGCAAGGATGGGGAGAAGGAAGTGGAACATGGGTTGCAGGCAAATATATGCTGAATTAATGAGACTTTTTCATATAATGCAGTCTTTCCCAACCTGGTGCCCTCCAGGTATTGTGCTACAATTCTCATTCTCTTCCATGAGTCTTACCATGTTGGCTAGGGATGATGGGTAGTGTGGTGCAATTCAGCTGGAGAGCACTGGGTTGGGGAAGGCTGATACAGTGAATATAGCATGTACAGTTAAAAGTTGCTTGAGATGGAAAATAAGTTAGCTGAAATGCCACTAAGTGCTAATGCCTAAGAAGTCCATGAAGGTGACTCCAGGCTGAAGTGCATGCAACTGGGTTGGTGGAAGGGGTCGTTCCTACACAAGATGGTAGGATCCTGCTGAAAAGGGTAGGGTGGGAGGGAGGGGAGTCCCCCAAATCTGGCAGAGGCAGCTTCTGTGAGCTAAGCTGGGTCTCTTTACTCACTGCCTAGCACTTGGTGTGGGGAGCTGGAGGAGCTCCTATGGGGAGGAGAGGGCAGAGTGCCTGCTTCCACCAGCACTGCTGCACATGCCTAAAGTAGATCCAACCTGCTGTCTTCCTAAACCCCCACTTGAACTGTCTAACGCACATCAAAAGTCTTGAGGGAACCTTCAGCACAAGGCTTTCTTAGCTATAAATGACTGACGAGCTCGGCCATTATGTGGCACTGATGGGAGAGGCACAAGTGTTGTGAGAGCAATGGGGGTGCAAAAAGAGAGAGGCATGATGGTGAAGCACATTCATGGCTGCTGATACAGCGAGGAGGAACCTTTCTGAATGAGTGATAACTCTGTGGGGCAAACACCACATTAGATTGCACATAAATACATCTTCTAAAGGGGAAGCAGCTTTGTCTCGCTGCTGATCTGAGAGGTAGGGGAAAGGGGGTGTTCTTTAAGCCATTTCCCCCCAAAATCTTTCCTAGCTGCTGTTTCCTTTACAGAGATCCAGATCTGTATGTAAAAGGGTAAATGGTTAAATTCCTCCTGCTCCTCTTCTCCAAATCATTATGTAGGTTCGTTTTTAGAAGGAGTAGGTAACCTATGATCCTCCAGGTGTTTTAGTCTACAATTCCCATCATCCTTAGGCTGCACAGGCAGTGGGGAGGAAGCTGTGACTCTCCAGTTGTTTCTTGCATATGCAAGTGAAGCTCTCCAGTGAAACAAACTGGGGAAAGATGCTATGGCGCCCATCTATGCCTTTGCACTACTTGAGAGAGCAGGCATCTAAGCAGCTGTGCCCACTTGTTTACATGGGCACCATCAGGGGACATTCTGGGTTCACGTTTGTGCCACCCAGCATGGCGAAGTGCTAATAAATGCGGCTTTCCCCAAGCAGACATCCTACAGATATCTGGAAATGGAGCTCCTATCATCCCCAGCCAGATGAGAGATGGCAGGAGTGGACGACCAAAGCATGTGGGCGGTATCCAGTTGAGGAAGGCTGTAACATTAGAAAACACGGTCAGCCATACTTTATTTCCTACCTGCCCCTTAATATCAGCTCAGGAGGCCTTTCTATGAGATCCATCCCTCAGGGAAATAAGAAGGGCCTTTTCTACTGCTGCCCCCCATCTCTGGAACTCCCTCCCTGGGGAAATTTGCCTGGCACCATTTTTGGTTTCTTTTTGGTGCCAGGCGAAGACATACCGTTTAATTTCATTTTTAAATATCTATTCTCTGAATTCTGAAGGACCCTTAAATTGATTATATTGTAACTGCTTCATTTCTGTATTTTATGTTTTTATTATTTTGTTTTAATGTGTTGTTTTATTGTATGAGCTGCCTAGGGAGGCCATTTTGGCAGTTATAGGTGGCATGAATTAAATAAATAAACAAACAAACAAATTCTGTATGTTATTTGCTTATTAAAGTATTTACATCCTACCCATTTGGTGCAAAAGCACCACTGAGAACAGCTTGCAGTCTTTAAGAAAATTACCTATGTTAGATTATGAGTGAAAGTAAATGTATGTGTGAAATAGTTAAGAAAGGCACTACATCCATTCTTCCCAATAAGCACTTTTCAATTTCTTGATTAAGTTTCTACTTTTAGTTCTTGCTGTGCAGAAACTTTGTCTTTAATAATATTATCTTTAAATAACAAGGCAAAAGTTTAATTTAAATTTTAATTCCATAAGAACAACTCTATAAAACAGTAACTCAAGGAGAATGAGTCAGCAGTTAAAACCAAAACATAAAAAACATTATCTGTCATATGCAACAAAAACCTGCTGCAATACAACTGTCTTTCGTGACATGCAAGGAAACATAAACCAAGTGCCAACGGCATTCCATGGGTGCAGCATTCCATAATCCAAGTGGAACCTCCTCACATGTGCTTCTATGGGACGTGGCTGGCAAATGCTGGAAGCTATGGGACTTCTTTGAGTCTAAACATGCACAGTATCGTGTCCTCAGTGTGTGCACACTAGGATAATATAGAAGGATGTGGTCCTTAAGGCAGGGGCAGGCAACCTGATGCCCTCCATATGTTTCCGAAATGCAGCTCCCATAATACCTGACTATTAGCTATGATGGCTTGGGCTGACTGAAGCTGTTGTACCTGAAGGCTGCCAAGTCGCCTAGGTTTGCCCTGAGCTATCAGGACCTAAACCAATCAAAGCTTTAAAGGTAATCACCAACACTAATGGAGAGTGGGGAAAGTGCTTACCTAAGAATCTGTGTAATGTAACCATGTCTAGCTGGAAGTGGTGGATAAGCCCATGTATGTTGAAGAGGTGGCACAGCAAGGTCACCAGGCTATTTCCTGAAAGAACAGAGGGTCCTATATTAGCGTGATAATACCTATAGCAATTGTTGAAGTCGTTTGTTAACCATATAATTAGCAATCATGTCAATCCTGTGACTGTCTTGTCTCACCTACTGTGCCCAGGTTTACCTGCATATCTGAGTTACCTGCATGTGATATGGCTGAACTGTATGGGTGATATATTTGTTATGGTATTGTCACTCATGGTCCTCGAAGAAATCAGCCTCGCAGGCTCTCTAGGTCTGGGAATTTTTAAAAAACCTTTTGGTGATATAACATAGACTTTAGCACATGGGTGTTGAGCCTCTTTCTGATCATAGATGCCTCATATCAAATTCAACCTGGGGAAGCTTTCAGGAGCCACACTTTGCTGGTGGGTGCAGCCAAAGGAAATATTCTGCTTGTTGAGATTAACCAACAAGCATCTAAATAATGCATGTGCCCAACGAGTACATTAATTCTAACTGAATTTCATGACTTTAAAATTTAGCATTGAGGACGGGGTACCTACAGAGTACCCCCCCCCCCGCCCACTCCCGGGATCAAATACCAGCTTCATGCAAAGAACTGGCATGGCTGTTTTGATTTTTTTTTTTTAATAGTAGGCAATCCTGATCGTAGATGCCTCATATCAAATATTCCTTCTCAGCTGTCTTTCTTCTCACATTTAGAACAGGGATCAATAGCAAAACCTCTGAGCATTGTCACTGAAATTCAGAATTCCTGGCATTGCATCTACGGCCTAGGCAAAGAAGATACTTCCTTGTATCTCTCCTGAATCTAGCAACAAGTAGCTTCATGAGATGACCCTGGATTCTAGCATTATAAGAGATGGTGAAAAAATGTTTCCCTATTCACCACCTTCATACTATGCATGATTTTCTACACCTCTAGCACATTTCACATTATTTGCTTTTTTCTATGCTGAACAACCCTAGGTATTGTAGCAATTCATCATAGGAGAATTGCTTCAGCCCCATTTTGGCATTTTTCAACTCTACAATGTTTATTTGACCAGAATTATGCATGCTAGTATTCAAAGTCTGGTTGCACCAGAAATTTGAATAAGGTATGATATATGATACTGGCAGTTTGATTTTTGACACCTTTCTGAATTATGCTTTAAACAGAATTTGACTTTTCACAGCAGCCACATACAAGGACAACATTTTCACTGAATTGTTGACCACAGCCTCGACATCTCTCTCCACATTAATAAACACAAGCTCAGATCCCATCATTTTATATGTGGAACTGAGATTTTTTTGCCTCTTTGAATCTGATGCTATTTAATTTTACTAAATTAGTTAGTAAAAAGCAGTCATATCACTATTTGCAAGAAAATGCAGAACAGTTTGTCTTTTTTGTAACTTACCATTTGTCAAGCGGTCAAAGAGGAAAATGTCAAAATCCCACATCCCCACTTTGGATAGCATGTGCTGAAAATATGAAAATGAAATACAGAACATGTTTGCAAACTAACACTTGGAGCAGATTTACATGAGACAGGACTTAACATTAAAACCAGAGCCTGTACCAAGTATTCTTCAAGGTTTCTTCCTTGACAAAACCTGAAGAACTGCTATTCTAGACAGAGGAGCCCAAATATGGATATACATAGGACAGAAATATTTATCTTCGAGTAATGAATCCACCTGCCAAGCTAATTACAGTGAGAGACCCTCTCTGATCTGGTGAGTGACTGAGGTAATAGCGAGAGAGGGTGCCTCGCCTCTAGAATCCCATTCCCCAAAGAAAAGTCAGCCTTTAAAACTGTCAGAGAACTCCTCCTTGAAAGCCTGATCATTCCACTTTGCCATAAAATTACGTTGGTAGAAAACTGAAATAAGCATCTTACTGGTCAAAATGCATACTTTCCCCACATATTGTGGTGTGACAAAAGGGCAAGTGACAAATATTGTTCATTATTTGAACTTAAAGGAAACATACATTGGAAAGATGGGAAACATGTAAAAACTGTACAGTGGACCTTGAATTAAAAGTAAATCAAAACAAACAAGCAAAACAACCTACAGAACATCAGACTCCCATTGCTTCAGAAGACCAAGTTGATAAATCTTATAGAGCGCTTGAGCTGTCATAGTGGGAATGGACTTTATAGTTGGTTCTAGAGTAAAGCGCTTGGCTATCAAGCAGACCTATAATTGGTACAGTCCTGTTTATCTAACAGGTTGGAAATAGAGAAGACAAGGTGATCTAGAGTTTATATTCACCCTTCTTGGGTGAAAGAAGAGTTGCCAAACAGCATTCTACGCAGACCCTCCTACCAGGGCGTAGGAAGAGGAAGAGATTAGTTTTCCAGATTCCTTTTCTTCTGCAGCCCTAACCAATACCTCCCTGCACCTCCACACACTGTTTGAGAGGTTCCTTCTAACCTAATGCTGGGAGATTAATGAAATTATGAAGATCACTTCATCCTTCATTCAGCTGGTGGAAACACTCTGCAATTCCCACTCCTCCATACTGGTACCTCCATCATATCTTGTTCAGAAGAAGCCCTGGACTGACCAGAGGGTACAGGAAGAACACGAGCATGGGGCACTGCCTTGCTGTGAACCTCCTTAAGTTCACCAGTCTCAAGATACCATCTCAGGTATCTAAACACTTTGTGATGTTACATTTAAGCAGTATAAAAATACAGCACAAATAATATAAATGGCATTAGATTCCTTAATGTTAAATGCAATCCAGGAAGTTTCACTTAGTTGTAGCTTCCTACCTCATTACACCTGAACCAGGAATCGTATGCATATCCTGGATGATCAAGCTAGGATTTTGCAGTCTGAATGCATCCTGTTTTTAAGAACGGATTTGTTAGGGGTGCTTCTTACCCTTGCTTGGCCAAGGTAGTCTTCATCCAGCAAGTACAGTGAAGCTTGCGGTACGATTCCACGCAATAGCCTTGATGCATGGAAATACCTCTGGAAGCTTAGTAGTCTTTTTACTTTTTTCTTTGTCCCAATTTCCCCTGAATAAATGGTATCTGTGGGGGAGTAAATGAGTACAAAGATAAATGTTAAACAAACATCCTAGAATCCCTCAAAAGCTAAATCTTGACTGCTTATTTTAAAAATGTACAAATGGTAAAACTATGGTTGTTTCCCCCATCTCTCTCCTTCCCACCATTCTAACACACTGCAAATCAGACGTGTTTCTCTCACCACAATCTGTTCTCCCAGGAGCTACAAAAATAAGCAATAAGCACTTGAAGATGCAGAGCATCAAAGCATGGTAGTCTCAGTGTTTTCTGCTGGCAAACTTAATGATAAACAGAATTATTTAACTTAATCCTCATGATATTTCAGTGAAAAATAACATACAGATGAGAAGTGGAACAGTAGCATAACACCCTGTGCCTGCAGCCAACATTAATGTTTTATAGAATGATGTATTAGGGAACATTTAGGTAAACCTTTCTCCCACTTCCTCCACATAAGGAAAAGAACAGTGTTTTGCCGTTTATATTGTGGAGGGTTGAAGAGAGAAATCAAACCCAGTTTCGATTATAATGAAGCATTTTCTGCAGCCATAGTTGTGTAAATAACAAAACGTTGCACGGGAGTCCTAAAATAAACATTTCTAGTAGCAAAACTTGATGGTTTTCCTGGTTCAACTCTATAGATGTAAATATCCAAATTACTTGAATAGAGCTCAAATAGAGCTGGAAAGTACAATGAATTGTTTTGCGAAGGAATCAATTACTTCTGACTAACTTGAACTTTACTTAGATGCAGACTGGTCTACTGTTGCCTCCACTTGAGAGTTTATTTGCTAAACAAAGCTTGTTTTCCAATGTTCCAATTCAGTATAGATTCTTAAAGTTTGACAGACGTATAAACCATTGACCACAGATAGAAAAGCCACTGTTTTCCCAGCCAACCACTAAACAGAAACTTACTTCACTGAATGCACTGGAAACACACTCGATTTAGTGGGGAAACCAGCAAAAATGACAAGATTGGTGAGACTGGGTGAAGGCAAACAACCAAAGCACTCATCTACATTCAGCAGAAGTCAAAGATGCCTGACTGCACATTTGTGTGGTCCCCAAGTTAAAGTCCTGGAAATCTAGGTTTAGTTCCACAGATGATAGAGCAAGTGTGGGGAACCTCTTGCAGGGACCACATTCCTGTGGTGGATGGAGCTGAAGGAAACAGCCAAAGGGTTAGGTGGTGACCAAATCCATTCCATTCAGCACATTGTAGTTTAAAGCTCTGACTGCCAGTAACTAAGCCTTAGGTGGGACATTTCAACTTTCTAGAATGTTTCCTATGCAACAGCAGGGAAACCACCAAATAGTAAGTGGCTCAGCTAAAGGGGGCAGCATCCGAGGGAGGAGCAGTGGTCCTCCAGGGAGACGGCCAGTGACCATCTTGGGATATTAACAAGCTGTGATGGAGAGCCAACTCGGTCCCTAGGCCTGCAGTTCTCCATGCCTGCTTTAGTGTGTGGGTGGACTGCCCTGTAAATGTGGTTGCAACATAGATCCACACTGTGTTGCAGTTTTAAATGCAGTTTTAACATAACATTTAAGAGATGTTAAGAATGAGTGCCATTACCTAGAATAAATACTGGGGGCTTTTTAAAAGAATAAAAATGTGGCTGACTGTAGGGTAAGTGAAAGGAAATAGCTCTTCTTCTCCTGTTCCTGTTCCTCCTTAAGGAAAATGAACATAACCTGTAATAACAGAAAACCCTATTTTTCATTTATCATCTTAATGGCCTTTTTGCTTTGTCCTTTCTCTTCCTTGGAAAATCTCCTCAATGTTATCATCAGAACACCTTTTTCCTTGGAACAGAAGGTCAGGTAACAAATTGAGCAGCTCATCATTTGCTTTAAAGGGAATGTATGTATGCATTAGTAAAGTATATATGGAAAAGGATTGAGTGACTCGTCCTATGTGTGGAAGTAATGCCAAGTAATATATAATTTTACAAATTTAGAAAACTAGTTCTAATGCTGAAACTTTATTTCAGTGAATAAAAATATCTCAGCAATTTGGTTGGTCTTTCCAAAAGAATGCTCAGACCTACTTTGAATAATGGTTTCAATGCTTCCAAGTTCTGTCGATTTTTTAAAATTAAAAGTGAAGGTGTCATGATCCTAGCAGCATTCATTTAGAAATGTTCAACAGTTCCAGAACTGTGTCCTGCTGCACAGTATTCCAGTGCTTCCTGTATGACTTCTAACTATTAACATTTCCACAAGCATTCACTTAAGCAAGTTAAATGTAAGCTTATTGGGAAATCTGCTCATAAATGCAGTCACAACTAACTCAAGCGCCTTTCATTTCAATAGATCTACTCTAAGTAGGAGTAACATTGAATGCAAATGCATTTGATTAGAATTTTATTTTATTAACAGCACTAATTAGTGTATCAAGAAATCAGAATCTGGAATCTGATGGGATTTTGTCAAGGCTTCCTTTACACTCATTTATGGCAAGTGAGTGTTCTGCAAAAACAACAATGCATCTGGGTGTTTCTAATCCTAAGGATCAATTCCAGTGCTTCCAGTCCCTGCTGTTAAATATGCAGCGTCTTTTGGCCCATGCTGATAAATCCCTATTGTTGCTAGGTACTGGCATGGCAGAAAACACACTTTTGATGGCATGCTTGGAGTCTGCTCTTCCCCAGGGCATTTTTCCCACTCCAGTTTACTAGCGTTGAACCATAAATCAAGGAGAAGAACCCTGTTATCTGGAAGCACACAGGAATGATATTCCCGAATTCCATGACTGTGGCTTAAAATAGCATGTTTTGTCTAAGTTGGGAAAATTTACCATTTCTATATCTTTTTGTGAAAACCTCTAAAGCAGCAGTGGCCAACTTTTTTGGCAAATGAGTCACAAGTCAAGTCCAAAATACAGGACTTGCTATACCAGAGCCTGAGCTGACTCAAGACATTTTGGAGCCAAAAGTCGAACATCCAAATGGGAGTTCCCCAGTACCATCGCTATCCTCAGGCCCATATTAATTAGCTTGAGGCACAATTGTCCAGGAAGTTTGCAGTCTAAAAGCACACCCCAATAACTGTTCTTGTGTAGTTGCAAGTCAAACAGAAGCAGCATCCTAATATTGCACTTTTAGTGATAGAAGTGACTTTACAGGAGTAACTTGTATAACTTGTTTAAATAAATAATAATAAGTGCAGGTATCCTTATCTATTGCCTATGTGCATTGATAGTGGATACACTGATGTTGTTCTAAAGGCTTCGCTACATGAGGCTTTTAACCTGTGGCTGTATTGAGGCTTCAGCTTCCAGATTCTTTGCAGGATTAAGATCCATTGCTTTGCACGTGTGTGTGGGGGGTGGTCTTTCCCTGCCTTTATATATGTTCCATAACACAACCACAAGAGGGCGCTGCAGCATAGTAGAACTGGGAAGATAGTGAGATTTTAATTCCACCCTTTTCAGATAATACCACTTTTCCTCACTATGGGGGGGGGAAAGCCATGGAATACTCAGAAAGTACAGGAGAGGTGCTGGAGGAGGAGGATACTGTGTAAAGCCATCATAGTGTACTTCAGTGAGGCATTGCAGGTGCATGATGAAAGTCCTCATGCGGAGAAGCTGTGAATCTAAGCCCAGTGGGTTTCTGGTTTTGAAGCTTACTAATGCATTCTCAGTCAAGAGCATACGAACATGTGAGAAAGCACGCCCAGTTCTCTGCAAGCAGTGCTGCAATTCACTGGTCCCACCATTATGGCGCTGCATGGAATTCCCTCTATGCTTAATTAAGGCAATCAAGAATGTGCTGTATCAGTCACTGGCAGACTACATCATATGATAATCAAAGCTAATTTTAATCAGCACATATGAGTCACGGCAAGGATCTGCTTCAGTGACTCACTGAGCAACTTAGTCAATCAGAGAATTAAATTATTGCTGCCTTACCAGGAAAATCCTTTTTGAAAGCCAAGCTAGGCTAGTCTCCAATAAAAAGAAAAATGAGCGAAGTAAACATTTGATACAGAAGTGCTCCAGGTCTGAAATTTACACTTCACAGCATACAGATCACCTGCTCTTCTGCAGATGGTACTGGGTTTTGTTACATACCTCTTATGTTGGGAGAATATAGGATACAAGGAACATATATTGACATATGCCACAGAATTAGCTTTCCCCCATTTGTCACAGACAGGCCCCCAGGCTCCTAACATCATCTGGCCTTCGTAAGAGGGTCTGAGAGTGATGCGGCACCCAGACCCAGAGCCCCCTGCTCTTGTCTACAGTAACCAGGCTTAAGTATGCATAACCGTATTTCCTGATCAAGCAATAAGTGGAGGTGCAAGTGTATGGGAAGCAAACAAAGAGGAAAAAAGTGAAGAAAAGTTCCTGTGTTTTGGGAATGGCACTCTCCAGGTGCTTTTCATAGCAAATGGATGATTTACTGAAGAAGAATATTTTCCTGAAGAAGGATATTTCCAAAACATACAGGGCAATGATTAAAAAAATCACCGGCAGTTGAGACTTCCAACATTTCCCTCCTTGTTCCTTCCCATAACTGTATTTCCCCCTTTCCTCCTGTTATCCTTGTCTCCACTGATCCCTCCTCCATTAAAGTTTTGATTGTACGGTCCTCAGGGCAGTGACTTATCTGTTTTGCTTAAATGATGCTATGAATCGGCTCCAAGCAAGGCTTCATACGCACAGGAATATCCTGCCCCGGGGGAAGGGGGAAGGCCCCATTGAACTACTTCACGTGTCTCCTGTTCTGCTGAGATGCTCAGAGAAATGCTGCTAGATTGACCAGGGCTGCTTGCTTTTAAAGATGCAGGGGCTATTGTAACTCACTTGTGCAAGCCTTGCACAGAGAAGTGGCATCTAAATGTCATAAATATCAACATTAAGTGCTGTGTTCATTGATGACACAAATATAGCATAATGCTTTGCAGCCATCACAGGATGGTGCCCATGACTTCTGTGCAGCAGCAGGAATGTACACTCGGCTGGTGTGCACAGGCTGCTCCTAAACAACTGGTTCCCCAGTCTCGTGAACTTCATCTTCTGGAAATGCTGTCCAGAGTTCATGCATAAATCAAGGACAAGGTGAGAAGTCTTTACCTGATACTACATCTCACATAGCTGTGTAGGGACACAGAATGTGAAAGCAGTTCTTCATCAGTTTTTGGTACAACCATGTGAATAACTCATGAACCCATTTCCAAATAAGTGTTGTACTTACTATTGAGAAGGCGAAAGTCAATAAATGGGTAGGAGCCACGCCGCTCAGAGAGAACCCCTGTCTGACCTCTCAGCCGTGCATCTCCTGTAAGACATGATCACAACAGTATTAAAGATACAGCTACCAAATAGACTAGCAAAAATGCTTCCAAATATGTCAAATAGATGTTGGAAATGTAAACCCAATCTGGTACCTTCTATCCTTTGTGGTGGACATGTGTTAAGGCGAAAAAATGTTGGGTTAAAATTCACAAATGGCTTGAGGAAATGCTGCATAAACTGTTAACATTTCAACCTGAAGTCTTTCTATTAGGTATTGTTCCTGATAATTTTGATAAACAAGCTATATATTTGACTTTTCATATAGCTACTGCGGCGAGGATTGCATTTGCTCAACACTGGACAAGCAAAGAGCCACCTAATGAAGAGCTGATTTTAAAAAAGATCTTGGACTGCGCGGAGATGGACAGATTGACTTTGTCTTTGAAGGAGAAGGAAGATACGTACTTCTATCAAACTTGGAATATTTTTTATCATTGGTTAGATAAACGGGACTATGCGTAGAACTGAACATGGTTGTGGAATGTAAAAAAAAAAAAAGCGTGATGTCGACCCAGTTTGTCCAATGTCCTGAGTAATTGTTGTTTTTAGTTTTGGATTTATAGAGAAAATAATAAAATTTGTTTAAAAAAAACTATTAAAGATACAACTTCTTCTCAAAGTCCCTTATTAACAACCAGTTGATGAAAGCCAGTGTGGAGTAGTGGGTAGGAGTGTGGGACTGGGACTCAGGAGATCTGGGTTTGAGTGCCCACTCAGCCCTGGAGCTCACTGGGTGACCTTGGGATGGTCCCAGACTCTCAGCCCGACCTACCTCACAAGGTGGTTGTTGTGAGGATGAGATGGAGAGGAGAATTATGAAAGCCACCTTGAGCTCCTTGGAAGGAAAAAAGGCAGGATATAAATAGATTTATACAGCAGAATAAATGAAGTTCAGCTAAAGCAAAACTTCGTATGAGGCCAGAACACAGTTTGATCTCCTGAAAGTCCTTCTAAACCAGGTTCCTTTAAATGAGGTACCTCTAAAACAGAGAAGCACAACCAATGCCCCCTCCCATGTCTTACTTGCAGCCTGCCACCCCCACAACCATTCTGCCCCATTTGCCACCAGTCCTACCCGAATGCTTCCAGCAATACAGACTGATCCGTCCTGTGAGAAAAGAGTGATCTGCATGAGGGTCTCTAGGTGAGGGAGCAGAGAGCCCTCATCATGGATTGCGCAGGCGAAGAAAAGGCTCTTCCATCCCTGCCCCAGCGCTCCTCATATGAACCCCCCTTTCCCCACTCACTGCTGCTGGCAATCTGGAAAGAGCCATTTTTAGTGGGGGCACTGGCACGTGTTTGTGTGCCCACGTGTGTGCATGCATGGAGATGGATATGTGCATGGATTCACACGTGTGGGTCCCAACTCTTGAGCCAGCATCGTATATGTCCTCTGGGGTTGAAAGGTTATGTTTTCCTGCCTTTTGTAGGTTTGGGCTATAATCTATATGTATAAATATCTGTTATTAGTTAATATTCATTTATGTCTTTTTTTATTTGTACTTTCATTTATATGCCACCTATTACCATAGGCTCAAGGCAGCTTATAAGAAAGATAAAGATAAAAACACATACAATACATATATAAAGGTAAAAACACATATGAAATAAAGAATAAAAACTTCATTATGAGAATTTATAATCTAACAAACACATATGATGCATTTAGGAAGAATGGAATAATGAATTGGAGCATCCCATTTTGCCCAATCAATGATGCTGTTCATTGCCACCTGTTTCACAAGGGGTAATGGCTCTTAGGTTATACTTAATTAAACAAAAAATGTTGTTTCAAGTGTACTGGATGCCACAATGTCTTTTTTGATAGGACTTGATTAAATGGCCAATTGTTGGTGGCACAATGCATCTAATGCTTCTCTTATTCATATGTTTTGACAATGCCCAATGGCTGCTACCTTCTGGGAGGAGGTAATAAATTTTGTGATAGAAACTTCTTTAATATTCAGTGATACATATCACCTTCTTTATTACTTACCCATCTCTTGGAATTTAACACGAGGTCAGTGTGAATGGATTTTCTATGCCCTTTTGACAGCTAAAAGACTAATACTACAGCCCTAGAAGGATAAAATGCCTGTGAACTCCCTGTATGGAGGACTTAATGAAAGTTATGAGGTCTGAATGGATGATCTTTAGGTGTAATTTATGAATGGATAAATACACGGATATTTGGGCCATCTTTACTGAAGTCTACAAACAAAGTCTATTTGTTTTGTTTCATGCAAATACATAGAGATATATAACATATCTATATTTAGTGATATGGATTTTTAAACATTGTACATAAGAAAACTGTAATATTTCCTTTTTCTTTTTTCCCTTTCCTTTTTTTCACTGTGCTATTTAGGTTTTGTTCTTAACACACAATAAAAATAAATTAAAATATATTCTTAGCACTGAGGAGAAATTTATTTATTTATTTATTTTATTAAAACATTTCTATGCCGCCCCATTCGCCGAAGCCTCGGGGCGGCTCACAACATATTAAGAAATAAGAATTCTTAAGAAAAAAATTACATTTCCTTTAAATGTAAAACCCAGAATATTTTATAAAATGTGACTTGGAGTGGCTAGAAATGAGACCTGAAAGGGTATCTCTAGCTAGAACCTAATTGCTGGTCTGTAGTTGAGAGTTACCGATGGCAGACTGGTAAAGGGGAACAGGAATAGGCCTTGATGGTCCACAGTAAATCCTGTCAGTTTATATGCTGGCCAGAATAATCAGAAGGGTCATTGTTGAGTGGTACATATAGGCCAATGGAACGGTGGAGATGAAGAATGGTGGAAGGTGATTGGTCAAAGGATCCCTACTGAGTATAAAAACAGATGGTTGGTCAGCATGGAAGCCGAGGCAGAGCCAAGCCTGAGAAAAAGGGAAGCAGCAGCACAAACTTGGCAGGAAGCTGAAGAAGAGCCGCCTGGAATCACTGAAGGCAGAAGCTGTGAGACAGCCAGCAAGAAGAAGACTGCAGAGACACTTCTCCAAGAAAGCGCCTGGGCAGATCGTCAGCTGGAAACAGTTGATGTCAAGAAGCAGGAAGACCTCAGAGGAGGCAACTGAGTGACCACTTCTTTGCTGTATCCTGGTTATCAAGACCCTGTCCAGAAGGAAGATGTCAGGGAAGGCTGAAGCAAACCTGCCAGAAAGATAACTCATCTCAGGAAGCTGGAGGCAGCTGAGAGACTTTGTTCAACCCTATATCCTTCCAGTGAATTCTGGGCAAGAGGTGAAGCTTCAGCTCTTGTCCTCTGAGTCAGTTTGGGAGAGGCAACTGGGATGGAGTTAGGAAAAGAGAAATTGAAACAGTCTTAGTTAATGAAATGAACTTGGCTAAGGTTACGGCAGTTTCCTTAGTGAAAGAGTATGCATGAATCTTAGCAAGGATCCAGTAATGTATACTGATAATATTTCATAATGTATATTATGACCCTTCATATATGCAAATAACTAAATATTACTATATTTGTTTTAACTTTTAAATAAATCCATCTCTATATGCCCCACATCAGTAGCCTCTAATTCCGGAACTGTGCAAAGGATTGTGTGCTAAAGGGTTGGGGTACAACTGCATCAAAAATTACATGGTGGCAGCAGAAAGGGGCAAAGGATGAGGGTTACAGCAAAAGTACCGTATGAGTTTATGAGGTCTGCTATCCCATAATATTATCAGCACTGATTTTCTGATATGGAAAGAAGAAAATGCAACCAGTGAATTCAACTGCCTCCCACAACTCTGATTTGTGCACAAAAGCTTTTGAGCATGATAACAAGAAACACTTATTTTGTAAGCCTTGTGTATCTTAATGGGGGTTGTGCAATAAGCAATGGACAATTCAGTGACTGCGTCCAAGAAATTTTAGTCATTTCCCTCTTAAGTAGTAATTTACGAATTTCACATCCTGGAAATGCATGCTTGCATCTGTATCTGGTTAGTAAGAAATACATATTGGAAAAGATTTTAATGGCTCTCTTGTATAGTCCTTGAGTTCGGTTCATTGATCAGTTACTTACTATAGTGAACTTATGAGTTGTCCTCACATATCTCTGGGTTGACCCTTAATTTTTACTCTTTGAAAAGAATACTTGAAATATAATACCCATGCCAAATTCCCCTTGAAGAACTGCAAGCAAGAACCTACTTCCTGACCTCTTTTATTCAAGGATCCTCACTGAAAAATCAGCAAGCATTCAAACATTACCATTTTGCAAGTGGCTTTTCCCCACTAGCAGATATAGATAAAATGAAGGAGAAACATTACTCTGGAATCTGCCTTCCTTAGTCCCAACCCAACTACTGTTATAAATGCCAAATTGTTCTATAAATATAAAGCTCTCGCTCTGCTAAGAGATTCTACATGCATTATCACAAATCGTTCATATATACTCCCTCCATCAGTGATAACAGGCATAAATTCAATGTGCATCAAACTGTATAAACAAATCACAACTGCACATCTTGAGTGTAGATGCTGTCCATGCAGAATGCATCCATATCCACAAACAGATGCAACCACTCACATTTTTAAAAGCACATCTATGTTTCTTACTTGAATTTGGTTACCGTTCTAGCTACCATTCATTACAACCATTTGTTTCTTGACGTTAGAGTTTGCAACATGTAGGAGAAGAGATGATTGCCAATAAATCGGGCCATTTCTTCTTCTGTGCAACCTGACATCTAATTTTCACATTTCTAGGAATTCAGTGAACAAATTTTAGGGCATACAATAAAGGGTCTCCTCTCCCACCATCTTTTTTACTGTATTGGGTTATATGAGGTGCATTATAAACATTATGTCTAAAACTACCCATTGTGTTAGCAATCACCTAATATTCACTTGCTGAGGGTAGAGAGAGAGATAGACAGTGCATCTATTGCAAACAAATTGTATTGCCGTGTCCTTGGCAATGCTGTTATTTGTCACTAGAAGATTTGAGCCTCTCCCTGCAGCCCCCCAGTA